CATCATCAATTCATCAAACCATACTTTAATTTAATTTTAAAACCCACTTTTTAATGGACCACAGATTAGATTTAATTTAATTTAATATTTTAATAGACATGGCACACAATTTTTTTTTTTAATACAATTGTGTGTCATGAATTAGATACACGAGAAGTTGTAATGTCTCATTTATTTAAATTATATTTATTCCCTCCCAAAACAGATGTCTTATTAGAGGTGGGCACGGTAATTAAAAAAATAATACTCTTTCTGTCCCAAATATTGTGAAATATTTGTTTTTAGCACGAGAATTTAGGTGGAAAGCATTAAGTATGATAATTTGAGATAATTTTGATATTAAGTGATGTGATTGGAGAGATAGATAATTATTTATATTTTTTATTTGAGTGGTGTGATGATATAAAATAAAGTGTATATTAATATATGTATATAAATATTATTAATTATTTCTAAATTTAAAAATGTTGCAGTGAGTTTGGGACAAACAAAAAAGAAAATACTGCAGAGCGTTTAAGACGGAGGGAGTAGTAAAGTGGGTATAAAGTAGAAGGTAAAAGACTAAAATACCCTTACTTTTTGAATAATTTTAAAAAATAAGCTAGAGTAATAATTAGGAATAATTTGAAAAAGTAGAAAAAAATTTGTTATAAATTGGGGACCATGATTACTATGTAAGAAAACAAGACAATTTTTTTGAAACGGACGAAAATAGAAAAACAAGACAACTCTGTTGGATCAGAGAAAAGTATTATATAAGATATTTATTTTCTAATAATGAAAAATTACTATTTCAAATACCTTAAAAAAGAGCAAGTGAGAATAATCAGCTGTATTTGTTTGGATTATTTAAAATAGTAAACAATTCAATTACGAAAATAATTTTAACATGAACTGAATAAGAATTAATGCTTTCTACCAAAATAAATAAAAAATGTAAAATAAATATTTAAAAATAATAAAATTTTGAATTGAAATAATATCTATACAATATAAATAAATATTTCATATATACTATTTTAAATAACAACATATATTTTTATACCGTCTAGTCTTAATTGTCCGATTTATTGTCGATACGAGAATCTAGACAATGATATAGTATTAATTAGTACATAATTATTATATACTATAAATAATTATATATTAAAATCAAAATAAGTAATTAATTTAATTAAGATTTAAAAAATTTAAATTATAAAATTTAAAATACGATTAAAATGTATAATTAATTTTTTTTAATAAAATAATAAATTATGTGGTACAGACAATAATGAAAAATATAAACAAATTATATAGGACGTAGAAGAGTAATATATTAAGTAAAAAATAAGTAATTTATTTAATGATATTAGAAAAAAAATTGATAATTATGCAAAGTCTTGTGTGTTTGTTTTCTAAGATAATTTGAAGAGATATATATATATTTTTTTTGAGTTATAAAGAATATGTAGGAAATATAAAAATAATAAATATATTTGATATATTAATATTTTTGAGAAAATGTCTGTGTGATTATTTTCAGAAGAATCCACCCCGAGGGTTTGTTTGTCTAGTGTTTTAATTTGAAGTATTCTTTTATGATGTGAACTATAGGGAATCATGTCAGTAATATAAAAAAATAATTTTTTTAATATTCATTTTTTCGAAGAAGATAATATATATATATATATTGTAAATTATGTCTGAAAAAAAAATATTGGATATATAAACCATGGATAGGGACTTAAAGACATTGAGCCTATAGATTTTAATCTTATTATTATTGCTATTATAACATCAAAACTAGAAATTAAAACTTGGACAAGTTACATACTATCAAAATATAACAATTTATTTTATTTCATGCACATGACACCTAAGGTTGTGTTTGTTTGGGGGTTTGAATTTTGAGTTGAGATATGAATAGTAAAAATTTTGAATTTGAATAGTTGTATAATGTAACACTACAAGAAAAAATTATTTTTGTAACAAATTTTTTTTTTTTCTTTAAATCTATTTTTTCCGTTATTAATGACATTACAGACGGAATTAGTAATGGAATTACGTTAGCTACGTGAACTTTAGGGACGAAATTCTGTTACAAATATATTATTTTTTGTAGTGTAATATAAATAGGCATTGATGTGATATTTTTGAATGTAAAATTAATTTTTAGTATAATATAAAAAATAAAAAATAGGTATTTGATTTGATATTTTTTGGAAAAAAAAATAGAATAAATAGTGTATTTAAAATCCAATCCCCAAACAAACACACCCTAAATAAAATAAATATTTCTAAAATTTTAATATAATATGCTACGTACTATTAAATATATATATATATATATAATATTGACAGCTTCTTTTTATCAATTTGATTTAGAAAAATCAAGTGAAGTTAATAGGGTTTGTTTCTAATCTATTTGTTTAATGGTACAATTCTTGTAAATATTATAAAAATTATAATATATTTACTCTATTTATTTATAAAAAATCAACAATTCAACACAAAATATTATTCTTTTATATTACCAACAAACTTATTCATACTCAGTATAAAGAATACATTTATTTAAAACTATTAAAATACAAAATGCACAACCCATACTTGATTGAATGTTTTAAATAAAAATTTAAATATTTTATATAATATATTAGATAAAAATTAAATATTTAATTTGATATATATATATATTCTTATAAATAATGCCCGACCAAAATCATACTTTAGAAAAACATTAACTTTAATGATTGTGGACATGCAAGACGATCGCTCACATGCACAGTTAATTAATTAATTAATTATATATATATATATATATATATATATATGTGCTGCAGCTGGTTTTTTGAGGCAAACCATGTAATAATGTAATGCAAGGTTGTTGAGGTCGTCGTTAGTTTTAATTTTCCAATGGGCTCTACAAAACCCTTTTATTTGCGTTTCCTACTCTTCTTTTTATTTATTTATTTATAACATATTTGTTTCTTTTTAAAAAATATTAAACAATGTACAATATAATAATATACTTCCTCCGTCTCGGTCCAAATGAGCTTTTTGAGATTTTGTAGTAGATTAAAAAATAATACTACTCCCTCCGTCTCATATGCCGTGTCTGCTACACTGTAGACACTGTATTTTAGGAGGAGTGTAATTAATAAATAATTAAGAATGTATTAGTGAAAATCATTATCCTGTAATATAAATAATTATAAATTAAGATTAAAATAACTAATTAATTTAATTAAAATTAAAAAAAAAATAAATTTAAAAGTTTAAAATGAGATTAAAGTGTGTAATCATTTTCCGAAAAAGGAAAGTGACATGGAATCTGGGACGGACGGAAACGGTAATATGAACATGATATGTGGGACGGAGGGAGTAGTATTTTATGAGTTAGTGAAAGTGTATAAGATGTTTTTACATTTTTGCCCTTTGACTTTATATAAAAAGTAATTGTACCTGTAATAGTATGTTTGTAGTTTAGATAAAAGTTAAGGGTATTTTGGTATTAGTGTATAATTACTTTTACTAAAATAGGAAATAAATACTTCGGAGTGGGATTGACGAAAATGATAAAAAAAAATACTTTGAGTTGAGACGGAGGGAGTATGATATAGTCACATACAACATACTGTTGAGGTGCAAACTCAAGTTCCACATTGAAAATTAAAAAGAAAAATTCACACCTTATAAGTTCCATATAAACTCTACTAGTACGAGACGTTTGGAGTAAGTACAAAAATAAATCCGTGCGAGCTCAACCTAAAACGGACAATATCATACTAGCGTTGAGTTGACCTAGTCCCAACACATACTATTATTAATTTTAATACAAGAAACATGTACAAATTGACCACACATATTTTTATTTAACACAATATTATTTTAAATAAAATCATATATTGTTTGACCATTTTATACTTTTTCCGTCTGTTTCTAAGTATCACATTTATCTTTTGCGTCATTGTACTTAACATTAAAAATACCCTTATATTTTTGTAATTTTTTTTATACAAATGTCATTCTATTAGTATTATAAGACACTAATGAAAGTATTTTTGCAATTTTTTTTCTTAATTTATACTACGTTTTGATATAATAATTAATATTCAAATATCAATATACAAAAAGTAAATGAAACAAGTCGAACGGAAATAATGTGTTAATTGAGACATATTAGTTCGGTACATTATTTGACACTATTAACACTATAACCATCCCCAAATAAATGCAAAATTTATGTATTTATCAAGTAAGCACTTTCATGTAACGATTGCGAGTTTCCATGTTATAAAAAAAAAATTACATATTTATAATATATGATAGAGTAATATTTACTAAAAAAAATAAAATATATACTTTATATTTAGATAAATGAAAATGACAATATATTTTTTCGGATGGATAGAGAAAATATATTAAATTCAAAATATTGCTTCAAAACATATATATATATATATATTTATAAGCATAGGGGCCAAACTGCAAATTAGTATTTGCAATAAATAAATAATTAAACAGACCTAATGAATGTTCTACGAAAATTATGCAGAACAGACCACAGCAAGTCAACTTAAAAAGATTTTTTTTTTTTGTTCCTAAGAAATTCTAGAATACAAAGAAGAATCAATTATGCAATTTAATATTACAATAAATACAAACCAACATGAAAATTTCAAATTTAAAATTAATATACAAATATAGAAAAGAAAAAATTATACCATTAATTAAAAGCACCCAGAAAATTGTACTTTCAAAATATGCATTTTCTACAGTTCAGAAAAAATAAATAAATAAAATAACAAAGGTTCTGCCCTTTTGTGATTCTACACTCGGGATCCGAACTCCCGGACAAGCTCCCACGATGCCGCCGCGTGGGTCCACGTGTTCAGGATCTAAAAGCCCAGGACCTCCCAAGAACCATCCGGGCTTTCCTGTCATCATGTGGTGAAATTACTTATAAATTGACTGCAAAGGCTTTCCTTATTGAATCATCATTTGTTTTCCAAATTTCCCCTTCATTACCACCAAATTTTCCGTGTAATTTTCCGACTATTATTTTAAAATTTTTAATTCCATAATATATATATATATTTATATATATATAGTTACAGTTCAATGCAATTTTAATTCAATCGAGTTGGATCTCCGGTGAGTTGCAGAAACATTTCAGTCTTTAATTCCGATTAATAATTAATTTCTCCGGCGATGATTTCCGACGGAAACTCCGGCCGGACCATGGCGGCGTTGGCCGTCGTCATTTCGGAGCCGGCCGCCCTGTTCTCGCCGAAACCACAAATCCCCCATTTTCCGGTCGCCGGAATGAAGCTGCTCCGGCGGCTGGAAAGACACGGCAATAAAGCACGAATCAATCCCTTGCTTGACTCAATGCGGTCCTCATCGCCGTCGCGCCGCCCGCCGGACGCCGCCGCCGGCGATCACACCTCGTGGATGGTAAGCAATTTATCGATCGTAAATATATATGTATGTGTGTATTTATTTATTTTTTATTTTTTAATGATGATTAATTTTGTTAAATATATTTAAAAATAATTACGTAAATTTTTTAATATTAATATTATATTGTTTTATAGTTGAAAAGATAAAAATACTCATGTTAGATTGTGCGATAAAAAAATAATAACAATTGCATAATATAATGAAAATAATAAAGATATTAATTATGCTAAGTAGTAGTACAAATAATATTCGGACAAAAAAAAAATGGTATCCTTCTTATAAAATGAAAGGAATATTATATTTATAGTAGTTGTTTTATTTAAAAAATTTGTAGGATTTTTACCTTATTTAAACTATTTGGGTTGGTGGAATCATGGCAGCTTAATCATCCGTCGGCGTTGAGCATGTTTGGCGAGATCGCTGCCGCGGCCGCCGGGAAGCAGATGGTGGTCTTCCTCGACTATGACGGCACTTTGTCGCCCATCGTCAAGGACCCTGATTGCGCATTCATGCCCGATGAGGTACCTCTCAACTTTATTATCATTTTTTATATATTGAGATGGATATAGATTATCTGCTGATCCGGTTAAATCAATATAATACTGATTTGATTGTATAATACATGCTATAGTGCTGACAGATATATATTACAATTTTATCAATATTAAAAAAATTTATAAATTTTAAAATTTTAAATATGATTAAAGTGCATAATTATATTTTCATAAAAAAAATTGACAAATTATGTATGACTGTCGAAAATAGAAAATAGAAACAAATTATGTGGGACGGAGAGAGTATAATATATCATATTATATTATATTATAATTAATACTCCTTCAGTTCAGTCCGTTTTTAAGCTGTCATGTTTACATTTTGCGTCATTGCATTTAATATTAAAAATATTCTTATATTTGTATGATTTTTTTATACGAATATTCTTCTATTAATATGAGATATCTATAAATATTTATGTTGGTCACTTTTATAACATATATTTATATATATATATACATTTTACTGTGTTTTTTATTAATTTTTTATATATATATAAATAATACAAAACAATATACATCCTATATAGCTTTATAATATATATATATATATATATATTTGTATTAAATTGAATACATTGTTTTTTTAATCTAATTTTTACTATTAACAAAACTCTTCAAATAGTATCTAAAGACACTCTTACCCTTCAGTTTAGTTCCTTTTTTTTGTTAAATAAATAATTAATTCAAATTACAAAATTAAAAAACATACCCCTCTATGTGGTCATTATACAATACTAATTATCTTACCGTCTCCGATGATCTTATCAGACCAGAAAAGCTGTCCGAGATGTTGCCAAGTATTTCCCGACTGCCATTGTCACCGGCCGATGCCGAGCTAAGGTATATATACATATATATATATTATACTCTCTCAGTCATTCAAAAATATAGTCAAACTTTGAAAATGAGTTTTTTAAATGTGAAAATATATTTTTTATGATTTAAAAAAAAAAACCGTGACAAACAAAAAAGAAAATAAATATATTTATGTGATAAAAAATACTTTTATTTTGTTCCAAATCAAATGGTTTATTTGAAATTTAGTAGTAGATTAAAAAATAATAGTATTTTATTACTAAGTAAAAGTATATAAGAATTTTTGATATTTTTATCTTTTCACTTTATATATAAAATATCTATGTAAATGATATACTTGTAATTTTTTTAAAATAAAAAATATTTTGAAATGAGAGAGACAAAAATAATAAAAATATTACTTTAAATTGTAATAAAAATATCAAATTGATGATATGTATATATTTGACACATCAAAATATAGACAACACATATTTTTATTTCAAACAACACATATCGTGTATACTTAAAAAATCAATTATTACATATATATTGTATGAGATTATATCAAATACTATTAATTCATTAATTGTATTTTTATTGCATCGTAGGTATATGAATTTGTGAGGCTGCCCGAACTATACTACGCGGGCAGCCACGGAATGGACATAAAGGGACCATCAAAAGGCCACCAAAGAAAGGTCACTACTCACACTTCACACACACACCCACATGTGTGTCTGTGTGTGTCTTTTTGGGCTCAATTTCCTCACATTTGTTGTTTGTTTATAACTATTCAGGCAAACCAAACTGTCCTCTGCCAGCCTGCCAAAGAATTTCTCCCAATAATTGACGAGGTTACCCTCACTTTTCAAATTTTCTCTTTTTTTTTTTAAAATAATATTTGACTTAATAGGAAAATATTATTATAATAATAATAATTATTATTATTATTATTATAATATTAATTAATTTTGCAGGTATACAAAATTCTGATGGAGAAGATGAAACGAATACCAGGGGCTAAAGTTGAGAACAACAAATTTTGCCTGTCCGTACACTACCGTTGCGTCGAGGAAAAGGTCTGGAAGCTTCTAGAAGATTCTAGAAGTTGTAGTAGTGTTTGGTTTTTAGAGTTTGAGAATATGGGTTAAATTATGGGGCAATTAATTAATTAATTAATTAATTGCAGAGATGGGGAGAAGTTGCGGAAGAAGTAAAAGATGTGATCAAAGAATATCAACGGCTGAGATTAAATCAGGGCAGGAAAGTGTTGGAGATTCGTCCCACCATTAAATGGGACAAAGGAAATGCAATCGAGTTCTTGCTCCACTCATTAGGTACTTAAATTTATTAATTAATCCCACATTTTATTTAATTATTATATATATATATATACTATCTCTGTTCGGCTATAAAGGTTTCCGTGTAATTCTTAAATATTAATTATTATATTAAAATATAGTACAAATTAAAATAAAAAAATAATTTTATTAGTATCTTGTAATACTAATAAAAGAATATTTGTACAAAAAATTTTACAAATAGAAAGATATTTTTAATGTTAAGTACAATAACGTAAAACGTAAATATAACCCTTAGAGGCGCGGACAGATGAAATATATTTTATTAAGAAAAATAAAATCGAAGATTTATTTTATTTTTTGATGTGTATATGAATGTTTAGGTTACGCGAATTCGAAAGAAGTGGTGCCGATCTACGTCGGGGACGATCGGACGGACGAGGATGCATTCAAAGTACGGCATATTTTTTTAGAAGATATATTTTGATTAAATTTAATTAATCAATTTTATGCTTTCTTTGTCATTTAAAATTATTTTTATTTTTATTATCATTTGAATTTATTGTTTTTTTTTTTAGTAACAAAATATTATATTAATTTTTATAATTCAGGTATTAAAAGAAAGAGGACAAGGATTGGGAATACTTGTGTCCAAATGTCCAAAAGAGACCAATGCATCCTACACTCTCAAGGACCCATCTGAGGCAAGTCTGACTCATCAATATATATATATATATATATATATATATTTTTTTTTTTTATAAAATTTATTTAATTTTGTCTTAATATGTTTGATTGAGTTATAATTAATTATATTTTTTTGTATTTTTATGCAAACAGGTTATGCAATTTCTGAATCATTTGGTGGATTGGAAGAGAAGAAAGAATTAATTTATGGTAATTACTTGGGATTAAGAGCTTAATAATTACGATTATATATATTGAATTAATCGAATATATATAGTTATATGTGCGCAAAAATAAATTTATTCGACGAAATTTGTAATTAAATCCCCTAAATGGGAAAGGGATAAACATTTTTTGATGTATTTATTTACAAATGATCTTCGAATGGATTAAGCAATATTTGAGATTATTGAAAAAAAAAATGATGTAATTGCTGAAAGAATATTCCCTCATTGTATTTATTTTTATTATAATGAGGAGTTATTATTATTATTATTATTAATATGCATAATTTTTTACTATTTATTTTTATTTGAAATGTCAATAAACTTCTGTATTTTTTTTTTTCCACACAATTTTTGACGATTTTTACTAGTTGTATAAATATATATTTTTAATTTATACACATTCTAAATATAAGTCCATGAAAGGAAACAGATTAAAATAAATTCAAATGTACAAAATACCTATAATAACCAAAATGAGTACAATGTTTTCAGTTGGTCATTTTTGTTATTTGAACAAAAAAAAAAAAAAAAATTGATTTAATATTTTATAAGAAAAAAAATAAATAAATTTTCACATGACTAAAAATAATTATTTATGATCTAATTATTAACTTTTACAGTAATTACTGTTGACGCTTAAAAATTATTCAATATTAACAATTCGGTCAATCTTATATATGAAAAAGCTAAGAGATCAGTAAATTTCACAAGACTAATTTAATATATTCACATATATTTACGGTGTGTTTGTTTAACGAAATTATTTGAAAAAATATTTTTTTTTTACGTGAAAGTATAGAAAATTATGTAAGTAATATAAAAATAATAAATATGTGCAATATATTTATTATTATTTTTTTAAAAAAATAAAAATGTAGTTACGTGGATTGTGAAAAAACAAACCCTTGGTATTTCTAATTACCGACTCAATAATTAAATCAATAAAAGAATTCCGGAGTCGAGGGATTACAATAAGATGATTAATTAGCACATGCATGCATTTACTAATTAAGTTGCCATCTGTATTTAATTAATTATTTTTATGAATATTCTTTTTTTTTTCGCTCTTTATTTTTTTACAGAAAATAAATTTATCAATTATTAATTAGGACAAAAAAATGGTTATTATTATTATTATTATTATTATTATTATTATTATTATTACAAGGCATCTCAACAGTTGTAAAGAGACTTCATGTTTATATATTATTATTTGTTTGTTTGGGGTTTGTATTTCGAATTGAGATTTGAATGATAAAAATTTTGAATTTGAATAGTTGTACGATGTAATATAAATAGGTGCTGATGTGATGTTTTAAATATAAAATTAATTTTTAGTATAATATAAAAAATAAAAAATAGGTGTTTGATTTGATGTTTTTGGGGGAAAAAAATGGGATGAATAGTAATCCCCCAACCAAACACACCTCTTAATTACATTTCAATAATATAATTAGTCACTTAATTTTTCTATATATTAATAAGTCACTTGTTTAAATATGAAATATTATGTACTGAATCCAAGTTTACTTGATTTTTTGTATATATAATTTAATTGTAAATTTTGTTCATCCAATATATATAATATTTATATTATTTCTTTTTAAAAAATTAACAATTCAACACAAAGTATTAATATTTTTTTATATTATTGACATGATTTTTCACATCTCACAAAAAAATAATATCAAACTAAAACACTAAACAAATAAATGTGTAACTTGTGAAACTTTTTATATATAGAGTATTTTGTTCTTATACTTTATTCTGATATAAATAAGTAAAAATTGAAGATATTTATTTCTGTGTTTGTTTGGGGGTTTGGATTTTGAATTGGGATTTGAATAGTAAAAATTTTGAATTTGAATAGTTGTATGATGTGATATAAATAGGGTTTGATGTGATGTTTTGAATGTAAAATTGATTTTTAGTATAATATAAAAAATGAAAAATAGGTGTTTGATTTGATGTTTTTTGGGGGAAAAAATTGGATGAATAGTGGAAATCCTCTAAAATCCTTCAAACAATCACACCCATAATGTATATCTCCATAGATATTCATACTTAATAAAAGATAAAATGAATACTATTTGAGAGATGAGAATAACAAAATAAATACTTCATTCGTCCACTTACAATGTTTATATTTACTTTTGGCGCGATGTTTAAGAAATAATATTATTTTAATTATAGTGAATAGTTAAAAGTAATGCAATGACATTTTTGCCTTTATTTTTTGTGTAAAAGTAATGATGTGATGTAAAGTAAGGGTATTTGTGGAAAAAAATAGTGTATTTAATAAAATATTAACTTTGTAATTGGACGTTCCAAAATAAAAATATATAAATATTGTAAGCGGATTGGGGAGTATTTTCTTAAAATAATCAAATATCCATGAATCTAGCAAAATTATTAGTATATTTTGGGCAATATTAAGAATTAATAATTAGGAAAAGCTTTGGTGTGGTCATAATTAGTGCCACATTAGTCTTAGTAAAAAATTAATAGTGCATTATTGCTCATTTCTTTAAATTTTTGCAGCTTTTATATTAATTGGATTGAATTAATATAGTGTTAATTTGATCTAAATAATATATATAATAAAAATATACCGTATATACTTATACATACTATAATACTTTCTACGTCCCAAAAATATAATTTTATTGTGTTGGACATGAAATTTAAGGAATATTGATTATTAATATTTTAAACACAATATTTTCATTAAAAAGTTATTAAATTGTGAGAAAACAAATGGTTTACCAATAATATAATAAGATATACTCCTTCCGTCCCAATACAATAGTCTCTGTTTATCATTTTTGTCAATCCCAAAACAATAGTCTCATTTTTGTTTACCTATACTTTTTTATTTTTATTACACAATTGTCATTACTTTTTACATTAATAGACTCACAAGGGCAAAAAAGTCTTTTATCCATATATTTTATCAACTACTGATATAATATCAATATTTTTTAAATTATGTGCCAAGCCCAATTAAAATTATATTTATAGGCGGAGGGAGTAGTATTTTTTATTTTTTTTTTATTTTTAAAAAATTCCAGCTGACATGTTTTAACACCTGGCTATTATATATGTATAATATATTAATGTAGTGGTTACAACCAAGACAAAAAGATTCTAGAATATTCACAATTAACATTGTTAATTAATAAACAATTATTACAAGTACAGTTGTTTAAATTCACATAATTATATATTAATTATTTCCATTTAATTTTTAATAATATACTAAAAGTATGTTTATTTTCATGAGAGATTACAATATTAATTGCGCATAATTAGCAATCAAACACATGTGAAACAGCCCGACAATATATATTTTTATTTAATATTTATCCGTTCCTTAACAATCTATTTATTTTTTTGTTTTGGTCCGTCTTATAACAAAATATTCATTTTCTTTTTTTAGTAATTGTACTATCTGCTTAACATTACAAACACCCTTCCAATTTACAATATATTACATAAATGTCATTACCTTTATATCATACAATACTAATAGTACTAATAGAGTTAATTTAGTCATTTTACATTTATTTCTACTTTATCTCAATATAATACTAATACTCCCTCCGTCCAATTGAAAGGTTACCATTTTCAATTTTCGTCCGTCCCAAAACAAGCTTATCATTTCCTAATTTAATAATTGTACTATCTACTTCACATAATAAATACCATTTCAACTTACAATATATTATACAAATGTCATTACTTTTATATTACTCCATATTAATAGGGGTATTTTTGTCTTTTTACTACAATCCAATATAATACTAATATTAAAAAATTTATATGCAAAAAGCAAAACGACACCCTTCCAACAAAACGGATGAAGTATTTCTAAAATTCCGTATAAAAAGCAAATAAATATATAGATATGAAACATATAGAGTATTATATTGAATGTTAAATTTTTTGTAAAATAATAATATATAAAAAATCATATATATATATATATATAAGGCAAACAAACCCTAAATCCAACCCATTATTTAACATAGAAAGAAATTAAATTCCAAAACACACTTAAATAATAATAAAAAAAAGCACTACAAAAGGCCAATCCTAACTCCTAAAACTAAGGGCCCAAATTGTAAGGCCCGTATGCTTGAGAAGTATTGTACGGAATGAATATAAATATATAAAAATATATCAAATTATCACATCAAAATACAAATAGACATTCAATATAAAATATTATTTTTATATTATCTGACAAAATTTCCTACTGAAAGACAAAAATTCAAATAAAGATACTAAACAAACAAACCCATTATTATTATTATAATATCTTTAATTTTTTTTTACTCTGTGTTTCTTTAGCCACTTAACCCAAGATGACTTTGAATTTTCTTGAAAAAACCTTTTTTTTTTTTTTTTCTTTATCGAATATTTTATCATAAATTATTTTAATATTAAATTCAAATCAAAATTAAATAAAAAGCCTTAGTTTGTGTCCAACCAAATTAGTTTTTTTTTTTTTTCTCTCTAATGGTGTGTTTGTGTGAGGGGATTAGATTTAATTTTACTATTCATCCCATTTTTTTTCCCCAAAAATATCAAATCAAATACTTATTTTTCATTTTTTTATATTATACTGAAAAATCAATTTTACATTCAAAACATCACATCGACACCTATTTATATCACATCATACAACTATTTAAATTCAAAATTTTTACTATTCAAATCCCAACTCAAAATTCAAATCTCCAAACAATCACACCCTAAAAAAATCGTAAGGCCCATAAAAGCCCATTACAAAAATTCCAAATCCATTTTTAAACTTCTCCTTCACAGTCGTCTTCTTCACTCCGCTTTCAACTTCCAAAGCGCACAATCGATTTTCAATTCGATAGCTTCCGGCGGCGGTCGAAAGCCGAATCTCTTGCAGCTATGGCTGCCGATCCTGCGAACTCAAACACCGCATTCTCCTCTGACATTCATACGCCAGTTTCTCTTCCGGCGAACAATTCGGCGCGCCTGTAAGGTGTTCGATTAAATTACCAGTAGAAAATTAGGGTTAGCGATTACGTGCAGAATTCCGATGAGGAAGAAGCTGCTAAATCCGGAATCGTTCTCGGCGGTCCGCCGTAATCAGAGGTCAAGGATCCGTCCTCCGCCGCCGGCGGTAATTCGCGTATCGAAACACATAGCTTATTTAGGGCGGCCGAAGGAGGGACCGAAACCACGGCAGCTGCTGTCTCTGCCGCCATTTCCCGGCCATCCTTTGCCGGGAAGGAAATCGAACACGGCGGAGCATGTAACCGCCATTAGCTGGCTGAAATATTACTTCGATGATATCTCACCGTCTGCCATTCAGAAGCACTTCAATAAAGGCCTTGTGAGTGCCCAAACTCTTCCCTGCTTAATTTTAATTCCCCTTTTTTTTTTGATGTTTTTGTTCCATTGAAGATGTTGATTGATTGTTCATATTTGATTAATTGAAGGTGCAGATGGAAGTTAATGATTCGAGAGGCTCGTTGGGATGTTGCAGAGGACGAACAGAGTTCATGAGGAAGGTAATGAAGCTTTTATGAGCAAAATTTGGTGTGTTTGTTTCGAAAAATTTTTGAATTAGAATAATTGTTTTATGTTATATAAATAAGTCAGACTTGGATCATTGAACTCTAGCCCGACTTGTTTATTGTCGTAATAACTCCTATACATATTCGGGTCAAAATTTTTGATCAAGTTATAATAATGTTAAGTTAAAATGTATAGTGAATTAGATTGAATTATTTAAGATTGAACCTACTTTAAAATTAATATATAGGCTATTTATCAAATTAGAAGTATTTTACATATATAATAAATATAATTGATATTAATATATTATAATTTGGTTGTCGTGTCTGGTTCGAGTTGAGGGCCATCTTTAATTCGACCCGTTTATTATTGTTTATTATTATATCAGGTTCGTGCTAGCCCGTATACATAATTGAGTAGAAATCCTTAATCCAAATTCATTTATTTTGTACATGTGTCGTGTCCATTTTTGTCAGCTCTATAAATAAGTATTTGATGCTTTGCAATATTGATATACTAATGTAGTGAATAGTAAAGTTGGGATTGAAAACATAAAACAAACAAAGATAGGTGTCTTATATTTCGAAGAATTTGAGAGTTGTATATATTATTAATAATGAAATTAATGGTATATAACTAGATGCGATACAATCGATATAGACTATCTATAAATACATTTGCGGTTCCATGCTGATTAAGGAGTAATACACAATAGATATTTTGTTATTTAGATTTTTTATTTAGTAAATGTGGACTCCACGGAATGTTGATTTTCACATATCAGCGCGGTAACTATTTCTATTGGATTGTTGGATTATAAGGACCATATGTAATACCCCGGAGTTGGGTCGGAATTTTCATAAATAGTGAGATACCAAAATCAGACGGTAAAGAAATACTCTTCCAATAACTATATATTTGGCTTATAATTTGAGTTTCGAAAGCTTCGATCATTCCAGCCATTTTTTTTTTATAGTTAGGACAGTTAACTTGCAGATTAAACATAGCGACGTTATGGAGGTTGGTGCCAGAGTTCATGTCCCTGTATCTGTTGCCGAAAGCAAGATTTCCAAGAGGTTCGATGTTATACCGAGTGGCACGCTGTATCCAAATGCAGATGAGATCGAGTACTTGCGCAGGCTCGTGAGGTATAAGGTGTGTTGGTTGATTTTGCTCGTCATCCCGTTTATAAATTCAGTTAATGAATTTTCTACTCTTGCTACAAAAAATTGGTTCTTGATTTTCATTTCCGTGATTATTAGACTATAGTTAGGCAATCCAATCTGCTAAAAAATGGGTGATCGATAGATTTAATTACTATGCCTATTTTTATGGTTGTTACTTTCGATGGTTATGTTAATTTTTGCACGATGGGTGGTAAAAGTATTCGTTGAATGTTCAGTCTGGATCGAGTTTGAAGGTTTAAATTTTTTATCTAAACAGTATTTTGATGTTATATTTTGTGAGAATAAGATAAAACGTTTTTGATTTCTATTAAAAGGTGTGCTAAATGTCGTAAATTGTTAAATCGAATGCCGATGCTCGAGCTCATCCTATTTAGCTTGTTACTTTTCGACCCAATCACATGGTATAATCTTTGAAGCCCTAATTGAAAACCTTGCGAGCATCGGTTTTAATGTTCTCTATGTGTTCACAATTGTAATTTTATACATTTCAATTTCAGGACTCGGCTATACTCGTGTTAAATAAGCCTCCCAAGTTGCCGGTTAAGGTTAGCATCGTTGCCATTTCAAAAAACACTATCCTTTTCGCCTATTCCCTTTAACTACCCGACAAAGTTGTGATCTAGGGCAACTTGTCGATCCACAACAGCATGGATGCCTTGGCAGCGGCAGCGTTATCATACAATTACAACGAGGGTCCAAAGTTGGTAAGAAATCTCAACACTTTACTCACCTAATTTATACAATTTCGACATCTATTAGAAATCTCGAGACACCTACTCTTGTAGGTGCACCGGATCGACAGAGAGAGTAGCGGTCTTCTTCTAATGGGAAGAACGAGTGAAAGCATTACTCATCTCCAGTGGCTGTTCAGTGACGGGAAGAAGTCGAAGATCCCATCTACGGTACTTCGAATCGAACTAACAGAATCGACTCTTGCCGTTTCTAATGTTTTCGAACCTTATTCTATAATCGATTAAGGATTGGCGCAACGCTTGCGACGCAATGTATCAGAAGTATTGGGCATTGGTCATCGGCTCACCGAAGCAGAAAGACGGCGTAATTCGCACCCGCCTCACAAAGGTCCTTCTTGATGATGGGAAGACTGAAAGAGTTACTCTAGCTTCTAACTCAGGCTTAGAAGCTTCCCAAGAAGCGGTTACGGAATATCGATTGCTCGGCCCGACGATCAACGGTTGTTCGTGGGTCGAGCTACAACCGCACACCGGTCGAAAACACCAGGTTGGTTCATAATCGATTTATCGATCAACAAATTACGTCTATCTCTGACTTATTCTCTACTCAGCTTCGCGTACATTGTGCCGAAGCTCTTGGAACTCCGATCGTCGGCGACTACAAATACGGGTGGTTCGTCCACCAGAAGTGGAAGCAAATGCCGAGAATCGACGTCGAGCCAACGTCCGGAGAGCCCTACAGGCTGCGGAGACCCGAGGGTTTGGATGTTCAGAAAGGCAGCGTGTTGTCGAAAGTTCCTCTCCTGCATTTGCATTGCCGGGAGATGGTGTTACCCAACGTTGCCAAGTTCATCGACCTCTACAAACGAGAAACGGTTAGCAGCAGCTATCGTTGTTCGGATCCCCATCCCGACTCGAAGAAAGCGGATATCCTCCGTTTTGTGGCGTCGATGCCTTCTCATATGAAAATTAGCTGGAATCTCATGTCCTCTTACTTGGTATGATGATCTAGATAGTCATGTCGAGACGAATTCGAGTAATGAATAGGCTAAAAAATACGTGGAAATTTCTTATAACCCATAAGCTATAAACCTGCTACATGACAAGCTAACTTGACTGGTTCAATCAATTTTGACGGCTCTATTAAAAACAAGCTATAAATATAAATTCAAAATTGGTCACAAAACTAACTTACTGAATTGATGGAAAAGGGGCAAAACATACCTCTCAAAGAACCCTACTCCGACATCTCATTGAGCGTCGATAACCCCGGTCAGAATCGACTCAAATTCTTAGCTTCCGGCTCAAGCAATTGCAAAAGCCGTTTTATCGAAGAACCTCTATTCGAATCCGAGTTATGCAGCAATACGATACGGCATTTCCTAAATGTCGCTGATCCGAAAGCCACACAACGCTTAAAATGAACGAACATCATCAATAGTTTAAAATATCGTCATTAGATTTTCGAAAAATATATACATTTTTTTCTCTCACAAAACATCGAACCAAACTTTATTCAAATCAAAAGCCCAAACCAAAACTAACTAAGCTCTGGAACATCATGAACTAAAAGCTACTTACAGATTTCTTCGTAGCTTCCTGCTTGAAGAAGAGCAAAACGATTCGATCCATGGGGCGTAATACCTTTCTAAAGTTATAGTCAGCTGTAAAACAAACTAAACGTTAAGAACTCTTTTCAAAAAAACAAAAGAAAGCAGAATTTTCAGCTTAATTCGTCGCAAATACTAAGCACAGCATTCATTTTACGGCTAATTTCACATCGATTCCCCCCATAAATTTCTCGAACTTCTTCCGGAAACGGCGCAACATACTTCTCATAGAACCTGAGATTCGACATCCTGTAGAATATCGAAAACGAAGGCCATCCTTGAATCAATTTCTTACCCTCCAACAACTCCAGCACCCGTAGCCGCGGCTTATGCCTCTTCTCTAGGCTATACACAAGCGACACCGGGTGCGCTACAATGCACGACCAATCATACTTCCCATTCCGCAACAGAACCTTCTTCGCCTCCTTTATCCTCTCCTCCGAATAACCGAACACCGACGGAGATTTCTGAAGAGCTCCGGCAATGTCTTCATTGGAAAATCCGATCTCCCGTAGAATCCTCAGCTTGAGCTTCCATGTCTTGTCCGATAATCCGCTGCGAACTCTAACGGCATAAATGAACATTTTCGAACGCCTACTGACCCCTAACTTATCAATCTCGTCCACGAATTTCTTCATATCCTTGTGAGGGCAAGTTAAAAATCTAGGAAATGCATTCATCATTTTAAAGATCTGATCCATAGATACGCCACAAGTTTTCAGGAGATTCACGTTTGGAAGCAATGTGCTGCTCAAATTCAATTTGAAATAACCACGGAATGCTTTGATGATTTTCGCGAGATCGTTAGATCCAAACATACTCTTGAGCGAAAATAAATTAGGTAGGATCCTGTTTTCGACGCTATGTTTGAAAATCAGAGGATCGTTCGAGATTATCTCGGCAATATCGGAAGCGGAAATTCCTAATTCCTGGAAAACTTTGATTTTAGGCTTAATGTACCTGTCGAGATTCGCGGAGAGCACCTGCGGGCGGCGTTTGATGGTTTTCTCTAACTGAGGAGTGGAAAATCCGCTCTCCTTGAGGAAGACCACCACTGAATCGGAATGTTCGACGCTTCTCAGGCGGGCCACGCCGGAGGCGATTTTGGAAGCCGATTCAGGAGAGAAATGGTGCTTGTTCACCAGGAAATCGTAGACTGTGGAGCGAATTGCGGATTGATTTCTCCTTGATGTCGAGAAATGGCGCGCGAGAGAGAGCAGATTGCATCTGCAGAGGGAGGAAAAATGTTTGAGAATTGGTGGAGATACAAAATGGCGGATTGCTGTGGCGATCATAGTTAGGTATAGAATTGAGAGATTTTGATTGAATCGGAAGAGAAGAATGGTGAAATTGAAATAGGGATTTAGGGTTTAGGGTTCTTATTATCATCATCACTGACATCAACTGACTTCAGTCGCCCCGCCCCAATTGCCAATATCGTTATGTGTGCTTTTATATGTGAATTTAAGGGTTTTTTTTTTTTTTTTTTTAGTTTTTTAATTGAGGGTATGTTTGCTTTACATTAAATTTTATTTTTAATGATATCTTTTTGTCAATAAACATTTATTATTAAAATTGAGGTTTCGGTATAAAGTAACACATCCGAAATAATCAAATTTATCTCAAAAATATTAATTAGTTAAATTACTATAGTTATATTTTTATATTGTAATAAGTATAATTACTCGAAAGAATTTATATATTAATTTTAAATGGACCAAAATAATAAAATAAATAGATTGATCCCAAACGTTAAGAATATATATAACTAAATATTTTTTTTTTTGTTGGGCTTTGTAATTAATTTAAAATTAAATATTTATTTAAATAATATTTTAATTTAATTTAATATTTTGTAACACTATTTTAAAAATAAATATTTTTTTTGTGCAAAATTTAAGAAATAATAATATTTTATATGAATAATAAAAGTAGTATAAAATAAATTTGCTATTATTTTTTAGTGTAAAAGTAACTTGTAAAAAAAAATAAAACTTATAATTACTTTAAAAAATGATTATTTTATATTTGAATAATCTAAAATAAAAATATATATACTTTATAAGTGAACATAAAAACGGCATAATTTAAAATTATGTTAAAATTATGTTACTACTTTGTATCCTTTAATCTTATATAATTTATCTATTTTTTCAAAAAAATAATTAAATACTTTAAGTGCATTTTTAATTTTATAATTTGTAATTTTTTAAATTGTAATATATAATTTTTTATATTATACAGTAATTATTTTACAAACTTATGTGTTTTTAAAAATGATTGCATTTACAGTAAATAGACAATCTATATAGAATACATAATAAAAACATAAATAAAATTTCAAAAGAAAGCATATACGGCCCGTCATTACACTTACCAATACTACTCGGCCTAATCCAGGAGCCACCCATTAGACTGGACCGACCCAACATAATTCAGGCCCATTAAATATTATACGAGCCCGGCCCGGCCCGGCCCAATATATACGGATCGGTCCAGTTCTTGCCCAATTAATTATCAAACCACTTTTCCGCTACCTGGCCCAACAGATGATCGGCCCGCCACTGTGGGGCCAATGTAGCTATGTGTTTCTTTGATTTAGTTTAGGAAAATTTAATTTAAATTTAGTATTAAAATAATGATTGCTGCGTTGATCCGACCGATCAGCATACACAAACATTTCTCAGCCTATGTTGTGTAATAGGATAGCAGAGAGTTATAATATAATATATTTTGAATTATAATATGTTAAAACACGGTATAAATATTTGATGGCACCCTATATCGTATGCTAATCTGGTCAAATTAGTATCATATTTACTGGATCAAATGCTAATTCACGCCCTAAAATAATAGTTGATGTGATGTTTTGTGAAACAAAAAAATATTCTCTATCACATATATATATATATATATCCTACAATATATATGCTACATTTGTCCGGCACTACAAGTCTTATTTATTTTTTTCATGCATTTTTGAATATTAATTATTATTATATAAACGTAGTATTAAGTTAAGGAAATATGGCAAAAAATTATCCTATCACATTGGATCTCCAACATACAATCAATATTTACAAAAGAGGTGTCCCGTAATGGATGGCCTGGTGGTTTGACGTGAGATCATGGGTTCAAACTTTCGAGCACTATAATATCAATATTTTTTAAAATAAGAGAGAGAGAGAGAGAGCGCCTTTTACCAGCCTACCCACAATCATTTTGGACCCAACAATCCATTCAAAGCTAATAATGAAGCTACTGTACAGATTGAGATTTCATTTCTTGATTTGGAGTAAAAAAGACTAATTAAAGATCTCAAACCATGAAAAATATACGGGGGAAAACTCAAAATTCATTGGAGATCGTACATTGAAAAACTCAATTTCAATTTCAAGAGAATTCAAATGATACTCACCTCTTCAGATTTGAATTCATGGTGTGGACCACAAACAAGCAAGAGGCTACACTAGGGTTAAAAAATTAATAATGGGAGAATGCTAAAGAGTTAGTACTATTTTGCAACAAGAACCAAGTTTAATGTGAGGGCCATTTAGAAAAGATCAAAAAAAGGGGTGAATTGTATTTGGCATAAGACTCCAAAACCAGTGGCCATTCACATAATTCCATCTTCTTTAGCTTCTTCCCACATTAGCAAATGATTGATATTTTTGTGTATCTAAAATAAGTGCTGCAATTAAGTGTGATACTGATGAGCAGCCTAATATATATATAATATATAATTCATTGTGTAACAAAATGAAGACAAATTATATTATATGGAGCAATTATACAGAATTCCACCATCCATACAAATACACACACATATATATATATATATAGTTTAGCTAAAGTAATACTTCATGCACTGCCGCCAGGGCCCCAATATTATATGTATATATATATGTAATGTTATTATAGAGATTATTTGTAATTTTAAAAGAAAAAGTACTAATATAAAACTTTTATATTAATTTTTTATTACAAATATATATATAAATATAATAACAAAGGCACTTATTTTCACTTTGCTCTGACCCATAGAAATCAAGAGCAACCAACTGCATGCCATAAAATAGTACATGAAAACCAAAACCTAACAACTATAATAAGTTAAAGGTTCAAAAAAATGAAGGAAAGTTCCTAAAATGTTTCCCGCTACATAATTGCAATACCAAGTGTCCAGAAACAATAAAGACATTGCATCTTAATCTTAAAGCAAGATCATACAAATATATATATATATATATATATATATGGAGGGGTCATTGTGGGCTTTGCTCTCAAGTGCCATTAACCCAACCCTCCTTCATCTTCATCATGTCATACACAAACTCCTAATTTCTTTTTCTTCTGCAACACTTTTCATGTGTTTCTTTTTCCTCAGTTAACTAAACACATGTACCCTAATTCAAGCCCTCAATTAAGCTTTCCCCAACCAACCAAACACATTTCATCATCTATCTATCTTTCATGGATCACTCAAAATATCAAATTTCAGAGATTAATGTTTTTATGAAAATGATCAAGAAACAAGCCTAGTGGACACCCACTTTTCCTTCTTCGGTCTACCCTGATCTATCAAGAAACACATTCCCTGATCTATCTATCTATCTGTCATGGATCAATCAATATATCAAATTTTACAGGTAATGTTTTCATGAATATGTGAAAGGATCAATAAACAGGCTAGTGGACACCCACTTTTCCTTCTCCTGTCTACCCTTTTTCCCTATCTCAGATTTGCTATTGCTGTAAGTAAATTAAAGCCACTAAAAGAAGGGAACATCCTTCCCACACCCACCCACAGGGGCCCCATTTGATCAAAAAGTTTCTGCCACAAAAACTAACCCCTACAGATGATAAAGTTGTTTCACAATTCACAATTGTCTATCATAAAAAAGCTAACCAGCAAGGCTGTCCCTCCTTTTTCTTTTAAATTCAACAATCCATGCTACTAAAGTAGATCAAATTTCATGTTGCTGTTCTTGTTATTGTTGTTGTTGTTGTTCAATTTTGAAGCTCAAGTAGGGGCAGATTGATTTTTGCAAGAACTGTAATTAGAGCACTATGAGTATGAGAGGTAGGGAAAGCAAAGTACCTCCTGCTGCTGATTTAATGGTTTGTTTTCCTCCTAGAGCACATTTAAGCTTGCTGCCAAAGCCAATCTGCAGTCCGGCTAGGACGTCGGATCAGCAATCCACGCGCCACCATCACCACCGCGGCCATTACCGGAGGAAATCCATCAATAGAAGCCACGCTAGTCCTCTACTTTGGGCGAAACCTAAGCCTCAAAATTCGGATGTGTCGGAGCCGACTTCCCCAAAGGTTACCTGCGCAGGGCAAATCAAAGTCCGGCCGAAGCCGAACGCGTGTAAAAACTGGCAATCGGTGATGGAGGAAATCGAGAGGATACACAATAATAGGAAAAAGAAGAAGAGATCTGCGTGGATCGAAACATTAGGGTTTAAAAAAGACGTCACGCAATTTCTGACGTGCTTGCGTAACATCCGCTTCGATTTCCGATGCTTCGGTGCTTTCCCCACAGCCGGTATCACCTCCGACGATGAAGACGACGAGGACGACGAAGAAGAAGACGAAAATTACAGAAAATCCGGATCGAAAGAGGCGAGCGTCGAAGAAACCGATCGCAATTCCGGAGACGTGTTCTCCAAGTGGTTCATGATTTTGCAGGAAAATCAGGGCAAGGAATATTTCATCAACGACCTAAAAAGGGAGAAAACAGTAATTCCGTGCATCGCCGCCGATGATGAAGACGACGACGGAGATGCTCCGACTAGACCGCCGCCGAACGCCCTGCTGCTAATGCGGTGCCGCTCCGCGCCGGCAAAAGGACTAACGGAGGGAAACGCTGCAGCAGGAAACCAGAGCATGGTATTGATGAACTACGGAGCCGAATTCTCTGAAATCTCCGGCGACATTGCCAAGGAAACATGGATCGAAGGAGGAATCAGAGATCTGCTGTCCCGAAGTCGCAGCTGGAGAAGATGATCACGTCAAGGTCCTCTGCTTTTTATATGCTTTTGAAATTTCTGTCGCTTTTTTGAAAATAAACGTAATGTTGGGACTGGTTTGCAAATTCGAATTACAATTTCTGTACAGCAAACAATCTTTCGGGTTTTCCCATTTCCTCCCCCTTAATTTGTGCAACAATTCATATACCGTATTACAAGTCTCTCTTCCTTTAGTGAAACATTCTGCTAGCATTAACCTCAAACACGGCCAACAACACGCCCGTGTTGGATGCTTTTCAAACGCGCCTTCGCTTCGGACATCGCCGCCGTTATCGTTTCGTCGGCCGGAATCTCTCGAATCAGCACCGCGTAATCTCCGACCGCCGCCTCCCATTTCTCCAACTACACATCGACATGCACGAAAGATTCAATTAGTTATAAACTAGATCGACATACATGCATGTAATAATTGTACGATATTCAGACAAATTTATCGCACCTTAGTGTAACAATTGGCTCTACGAAGCCTCGCCTTTGTGTACGACGGCCGGATGGCGAGAGCCGCCGTGCAATCTTCCACGGCATTCTCGAATTGTCCTAATTTTGCGCGGCAAGCGCTTCGATTATAGAGCAAAATCGAGTTGCGCGGATCTTTCTCTAGCCCCTTATTGTACGCCGTCAAGGCTTCTGAGAATCTCGACCCCTCGAACATCCGGTTGCCGTTTAACCGAGCGGACGCTACAGCTCTTACCCTCTCCGCAGTTAACTTCACACCGTCGTCGCTCGATTCAAACCGCAAAGCTCGTCGAACGTCGCTCACCGCATCCTCGAACCTTCCGTTTGCCGCGTATACGAGCGCGCGGACTTGCAGCACGTTGGCTGTAGCGGAGGAGCCGAACAGTTCGGCGTAGGCGTCGATGTTAAAGAACGGTGAATCTTGCATGACGGCGTAGGCCTCGTCGTGACGGCCGAGGTTCAATAGCGCCTCGGCCTTCATCGAGAATATCTGCGGATAAACATCGAAGATTTCATGGTTTAAAATAGTGAAGAAATTGAAGCGACGATGACTGTAAGATTTTATTGTTTCGATTGTTCGAACCTGCAGAGCGGAATCTGCGCCTAATGCCGAAGCGCTTTGTCCCTCGCTCATTACGGTTTCCCAATCTTCGCGGTCCTGAGCTTCCACACAACAGTCGATGCGATCCTTGACACCTTGCGCCCGAGCAATGTCGTCGTCCCGTGCTTTGTGTCCCGAGCACTTGTAGTGGTACATGGCTTTCTCGCCCGCTCCGAATCTAGACAATCAAAATATAACTGTATCAAATCTAGAGGTATTATTCGAGTCGAGTCAAGCCGAACTTAATTACTGAATGAGTTCAAGCTCGAGTTTTATCTATCTACTAAACTCGATAGATTTTCAAGTACTATTTTGAGTTCAAAGTCGATTGATTATTATGATTAACGAGTCAGTTGAGTCGAGTTTTAACCTTAAATGAGCTGAGCTGAGCTAAACTTAATTATTAAATCAGTTTCAAACTCGAGTTTTATCTATCTACTCAACTCGATAGGTTTAAAATAATATTTTCAATTCAAAGTCGATTAATTACTATGATTAACGAGTCAAGCTTAGTCGAGTTTTAACCTTAAATGAGCTGAGTTGAGCTAAACTAAACTTAATTACTAAACCAGTTTTAAACTCGAGTTTTATCTATCTACTCAACTCGATAGGTTTCAAGTACTATTTTAAGTTCAAAGTCGACTTATTACTATGATTAACGAGTCGAGTTGAGTCTTAACGAGTTTTAGCCTTAACGAGTAGAGCTGAGTTGAGTTTTAGTCTTAAAGAGCTGAGCTGAGCTAAACCTAATTACTAAATGAGTTTAAAGTCGGGCTTTATCTATCTATTGAACTCCATAGAGTTTCAAGTACTATATCAAGTTCAAATTCGACTTATTACTACGATTAACGAGTCAAATTGAGTTGAACTCTTCTAACTTTAACAAGCCAAGCTTTGAATAATTCAACTCTCTAAAACGAACATTGTTTTTCTCTTAGAACGTACCTTAAATACAACGTAGCGAGTCTGTAATGAGCATTATAATACAACGAATCAAGCCGGACCGCCTCTCTACACGGGACGGCCGCCTCGAGAAGGCGGCCTAATCCAATCAACGCCGCACTCTTGTTGGCGTAATAACAAGCGTTGCTTGGATCGACGGCGATCGCCTGGTCATACAATGCCAACGCCTCCTCGTACTTCCCTTGCCGGTACTTCTCATTCCCTAACCACTTGAACCCGTCGGCCGGACTTAACCCGTCCGTCGGCGGGCTATGGTACCGATACACGTTCCCCAATCGATACCCCGTCGACTTCTCAACTTTCTTCTTAACAACTTTTCCCTCGCCCGCCGCGCCGTTCCCGCGGCCTAAAACCATCGCATTCCCGGTCAAAGCACGGCGGAGGCTCCCGTCGTTCGATTTTTGCAGATCGGAAATCGATGCGGAGGTCGGTTCGCGGCGGCGTCGGCGGAGGATGTTCGACGGCGAATTCACCAGTTGGGAATCCAATTCGGTACCCCGATGACGACGATTGCTGTCGTTTGACGGCGACGATCTTTTCCGGCGAGGCGAGCCGGAGGCGGCGAGGTGACGTTTAGGACATCGGCTTTCGGGAAACAGGGCGGCGGGTCTTGGCCGGAATTGTCTCCGGCGAAAAATGGCGGCGAGGAAGCCGCAGCCGATGTGATCTTCCATGGCTGATGCTGCTGCCATTGAAGACAGTGATGAAGATCTTCCTTTAATGGAGTGTCAATTTCAGACAGTGGAAGAAGGACATCGTTGGAACACAGAAAGGATTCCTTGTATGTAATAGGCCTACTCCATTGGAGGTGAAATTTATACAGCATGATTGAAGGCCATGACTGCATCTTCTTGGGAGCTCCGGGATCAGTGCTCCCAACGCAAAATGAGTTTTTATGGGTTTGTTTGATACTATTAAAAAATTCAATATATATACATGTATTAATAATATAATTCATTCATTATATATATAATTAATTTATATATAAAATAAATTAAAAATTAAAAAGGGATAAAAATCAAAATTATTTTACACATTTTTATTGACCAATAAAATATTAATACTATCTCCATCCAATAAGAAGAGTATTATAAATTTTTTCGTTAGATATTTGAAATATAAATTAAAAGAAAATGGCAAAAATACCTCTATTAATCTCTTATAGTATAAATACAATAAGATTTGTGAAATAAATTATACAAATATAAAAATATTTTTAATATTTCTATGCGACGGGGGTAGTAGTACTTTTTAATATACTTTCTCATATTAACCTAAAAAATAAATTTATCCAAAAACATATATATATATATATGTATATGTATATATAAGTCTGTATATATACATAGATTATATATATATTATATATACATATAATGTATCCTATGTTTGTTTGGTTTTAGAAAAATTAAAATTTGTAAAAATATTCAATCAAAGTTCAATGAATTATTGCAATTAAACTATAGTCCGGATCTTTGTTTTTCTTTTTTTCCTGATTTAAATATTATAATGGGCCCTATGTCAATATTTTATTCAAGTCTTTTTATTTATTTATTTATTTTATGACAAATAAAAAAATAATAAAAATAAAATATTGTAAAGACATTTCATCGCTTATTGCTTTCTACACTTGTCCTTTAACTCTACAAAAAGCCTTCATCTATGCCACGCCCACTCCATAATCACTGCTGAGAATGAAATAAAAAATCTAAGGTAAATTGGATATTATTCATTTTGTGTTTTTATTAATAAATGTATAAAATATTATTTATTTTATTTATTATATAAAATTCTTTTCTATTATATTATATAAATAATATAATATAAATTTATATTAGATATATGAAATTATATAAATAATATAAAAATAATGAATATGCATAATATATTAATTTTTTGGAAAAATATATTGTGTTATTTTATTTAAGTTTTATATTATAGTACTAGATTCTATATAGTATTTAAATAAAAATTGCATTAAATACATAATTTTCAAAGTCGATCTTTTTCTTTTTTTGGCAATATATTATACCTCAAAAGATTATGTTTTTATTTAATCATTAGTTTCATTTTTTACAATCTACAAAAGTGTATTTCTTTTGAGTTTTTGTCCTATTTTTCTTATTCGTATTTCAAAGTACTATTTGAAATATATATATATATATTTACAAAAATCAAATTAAAATTATTTTGATAAAAACTTAAAATATTCAAATTTATCTTAAAAAAAAGAAAAAGAAAACGACCGACAATTTTATCTCATGGTCCAGAATCGAGGAAACGACGTCGTCCAGTTGATATGCATACAGCGCATGCATGCGTACATTTGTTTGTATTATAGTAGAAGGAAGCCAAGCCAAGCCAAGCCGGCGTTTCATTAAAAGGCGGTGCCGGCTTCCCCATGGCATGCAAATCGCGGGTCGCCAGCTGCCAGCCACCAAGCCAGCCAGCTAGCCAGCCGACCGACCAGCTAGCCAGCCATTAATTGGTCACATTTTGATTTGGTCCAGTGTTACTATTTAAATTTGTTCTTAAACTTCTTATAATAATATCTATATGTATGTAACATCAGTCTTAAACAAAAAATAAAAAAAAATTAAAAATTTTGTGTTTATTTTAATTTAACAAAAAAAAAATTATACAATAAATAAAACACCGAATAGTTTATACATTTTTAATAAAAATACAAAGAACATTATATAATCTATCATAATATAAAATACTATTTCCTTCGTCCGCTTCTAAAGGTCACATTTACCTTTTGCATCATTGTACTTAACATTAAAAATTTATTCATATTTATACGATTTTTTGTATAAATGTCCTTCTATTAGTATTATAAAACACCAATAGAAGTATTTTTGCAATTTTTTCTTAATTTGTACTACGTTTTGATATAATAATTAATATTCAAAGATCAATATACAAAAAATAAATAAAGCCCTTAAAACCGGGCAAAGATAATATTATTTTTTATATTACTAATATAATTCTTCATACTTTACATAAAAAAAAAAAAAAAACATCAAATTAAAATATTAAACAAACAAACCCTGCGATAATTATTCTTTCGATGTTATTATAATCTTTACATTCTTACATACTATTTATCATATTATAAGATATTAACATTTCTTAATTTACATATAAAAAGTAAAATAACATATATATATATATATATCTGGGTGTGTTTGTTTGAAAGATTTGAAAAAATTTATATTATTGACACAAATTTTTCTCTTCAAAAATATCAAATCAAATATTTATTTTTTATTTTCTGTATTATATTAAAAATTATTTTTATATTCAAAATATCATATCAATAATTATTTATATCACATCGTACTATTATTCAAATTCAAATTTTTTACTATTCAAATCCTGAATCCAAAATCTAAAGTCCCAAACAAACACACCGATAATCAATTTTGAAAATTTAAAAATTATTTCATTATTTTTTTTAAAAAAAATACATCAAATATATATATATTTTTTAAACTATTAAATCAAATATTTGAAATATACATGCCGACAAAAGTGCAATTGTAGCAACACTTTTTATTTTTTATTTTTTAAACACTTCAAATCACTTTAGAGTGAGAATGTGAGATGGACCAAAATGCACGAAGAGGGTGTTTGGTTGTTATTTTAAAAAATTATATAAATATTCCTCCCTCCGTCATTCAGATCTATGTTAATTTTCTTTTTTGGGTTATCATGAAAAAATATTTTTATTTCTTTTTTAAGTAAAAAATTATTATATTTTTGTATTTTTTTTATAGTAAAAAAAAGTAACTATTATTACTCATTTTTATTAAAATTCGTGACCGGTCAAATGAATACACATTTGCATGATGGAGGAAGTAATAGTTTTTATTATTTTAAAATAATATTAAATATATATTTTTATAATACATTGTTTTTTTATTTATTTTTGTATATTTTAAATATTATATTAATATTTAATTTTATCGAATTAAATAATTATTTAAATTTAAATCTTTACTATTAAAAACACAAAACACACCGGTAAAGTTGTTGGCTATATATATATATATATATGTATTTCAATAATAAAGCAGTCAATGATCTAAATCTTAAGTATCATTATTACTAATCTAAATATAATTATAATTACACCTTTTACTTTCTTGTCTTACCAATATCAAATTATAATATTGGTTGAAATTAGTGATACATATTGTACTCTTAATTTTCCCATTTCAAACATTTTCAAAAAAAATTAATAATAATTTATTTTTTGGCTTAATTAGGTTGTAGATTTAAATTAAATTATTACTCCATTTGTCACGTAACAAAATATCTATTTTTTTATTTTGGTCTGTTTTATAACAAGTATTCATTTTTTTTTAGTAAATTTACTATCTACCTAATATTACAAATACCCTTACAACTTCCAATATATTACACAAATGTCATTACCTTTATATCACACGTACTAATAAGGTTATTTTGGTCATTTCTACTTTATTCATACTATATCTCAATATAATACTAATATTTCTAAAACTACGTGAAAAAAGCAAATGGATACTTATTTCTGGGACGGAGGGAGTATTACCATGTCTACGTTGCCGTTTCTGTCCGTCCCACATTCTATGTCACTTTCTTTTTTTGAAAAATAATTATACACTTTAATCTCATTTTAAACTTTTTAATTTATTTATTTATTTTTTTAATTTTAATTAAACTAATTAGTTATCTTAATCTTAATCTTAATTTATAATTATTTATATTATAATATAATTATTTTCACTAATACATTATTAATTATCTACTAATTATATCCCTCCCAAAATACATCCCTCTCAAAATACTGTATCTACGGTGTAGCAGACACGGTATATGGGACGGAGGGAGTAATATACTGTCAATTTATATTTTAAAATTATGTTGTCTTTAAATATTTATACAATAAAATCAATTATAGTATGTATGGTATAGATTATTGTATACACATTTAATTTATTTATTGTATTTATATTATATTATATTATATTATATTAATATAAATACGATGTAATGTCTATTTATAATAATTATATCCATTTAAAATTATTTATTTTCAGTATAATTAATTTACTATTAACTTTAGAACTATGGATGTGTATTCTTTAAATAAAAAACAATTCAAATAAGTATTGTTCCTTAAGCCCATACAATTGGGTCCAATTGGCCCATAAATTTTAGCACACTTATTATTATTATTATTATTATAACTTGTTTAGAGTCTCTTTGGTTAGTGATTGTATTTGTAATTAGAAGATTGGTTTGAATGGATTTATTTAATTGATATTTATTTATAATATAATATATGATTAAAATAAATTTTAATGTGTACTTAAATGTTTTAAAAGTTATATTTTAATAGAATATATTCATTTTGTATATTAATTGTAGAAAATAAAATTGTATATGCATATTTATATATAATTAACAAAAAACAAATTTATAAAAAACTAAAAAATTTGAATATAAAAAAATATATTTATTTATTGAAAAAATAATTATAAATGAGTTACAATCGATGGATGAAGTATTTGTAAGAATAAAAAAAAATACTCCATTCGTCCACAAATTAATGTCCTACTTTCTTATTTGGAATGTCCAATAGCTATTGTCCTATTTCCTTTTTTAAACACAAATTTTACATTTTTACCCTTCATTCATTTATTACTTTTAATCTCTACCATACAATTAAGGACAAATTTGTCAATTTATAACAAAAAGACAATTACTAAAAAACCGTGCAAATATACTTTAAGACAATAAAAATTGGACGGAGAGAGTAATAAACAATAAGAGCATGATAGGAGAGTATTTGGAAAGTAAACTGAATACACCCTTAAATATTTATATATTTTATTTACCTATTTATAATAATTTGTGAAATTAATTATGTCCAAGCCCTACCAAATTTCGACCTCCCTAAGGAACTAACAAATTGTAATAAAAATAATTGCAACATAGTGCTAATTAATTTTTCGATTATTTATTTATTTATTTGTCGTTGCAGCTAACTGAGAAGTTGTTGAACCAATTAATCAACCTTCAATTAATTTAGTAATTAATTATTTAATCCCCATCAGGACCATATACCTCAATTTGACTTGGTCAACATTCGGATCTTTGATTTGATGTCCAAATATTTACAAATATTTTATTTTCCTGTCTTTTGATATAATTTTAATAAAAATATACTCCCTCCTTCCCACGTATCATGTCCATATTGCTGTTTCTATCCGTCTCATATTTCATGTCATTTTCATTTTTTAAAATGATTACACACTTTAATTTCATTTTAAAATTTATAATTTTTTTTTAATTTTAATTAAACTAATTAGTTATCTTAATTTTAATTTATAATTATTTATATTATATAATAATTATTTTTACTAATATATTTTTAATTATTTACTAATTACACCCCTCCACAGCAGACACAATAGATGAGACTGAAGAAATAATATTTTATTTAAATCACATTTCATTTTAAATAAATTTTTAAAGCACAGTTAAAATAAATTTATAAAACATCACATTTATCTTTTAAAAAAATAAACATTTTCTTTTTTGAAGTAAAGAGAGTTTATTTTAAATTATTTTCAAAATTTTTAAAGTATTTATCTAAAGGTAGTCTCTAGATTTGGACAAAGATATTCGGTTTATGTAATAATAATAATAATAATAAAAGTAATAATAAATAAATAAATCTAGTACGGTACGTGTAATTACGTGTCTCTATTTCTTGTCATATATACTTTATTTTAATTTTTAATTTCTGATGTTGAATGATCATTTTGACTTTATTTTAAAATTCTTCGATAAATAAATGCATAATATATATTGTAACGAATATATATATATATTTTTTTAAGATGAAATATAGAAAATTGTATAGATAATATATGTATAAAAATATTACTCTTAACTGTCACTTAAATTTGTAGTTAAGTTTTTTATATAAATTTTTGTTAAAAACCTTAAATTGAACAATAAAAATTTTAGTTTGGAGTTCAAAATAATAAAAAAAAAACTTTCATGTACATTTGTCATTTTGTTGTGAAATATACAAAATGGTAAAACTATTACTTCCTCCACCCTATAACAAAGTATCCATTTTTTCATTTTAGTTCGTCCCATGACAAAGTATCCGTTTCATTTTTTTAGTAACTGTACTTTCTACATAACGTTACAAATACCCTTACAACTTACAGTATATTACATAAATATCATTACCTTTATATCACACATACTAATAAAGTTATTTTAGTCATTTATATTTTATTCCTACTATATCTCAATATAATACTAATATACCTAAAACTACGCATAAAAAGTAATTGGATACTTATTAATGGGACGAAAGGAGTATAAAAAATAGAAGTATAATGTAGATTTTTGCTAACTTTAATCAAAATTATGTTATTATTTTTAATTGTTTATTAAACTTACATATAATTCATATATAATAAATAATTTTATTTATTTATAATTTTATTATTTTTATTTTAACAAATAATAATCAATTCACATTAATGCACTTTTTCTACTTATTGTATTATTTTTCTATTAATTTTTAATAAATTTTCTATTTTAATCTTACCTATTCTATTTCATTTTAACATTAAAATATTATTTCATTTGTATAAATTTTTTATTTGATTTTTGCATACGGATTAAAATATATTAGGATTTTATAGATATATATTGTAATAAAGTAATATAATATTCATTTTATTCTTATAAAATAATATAAAAATATAAAATATAAATACTTTAATATTTAGTTGAGACTTTTTTTTTATTAAAAAAATAAGAAATTTTAATTTAAAATAAAAGGAGTATTTTTTTTTTAATTTTCATAACCAACCAAACCTACATATCTTTATAAAAGTTGAATCAAATTAACACAATATAAACACAAAGTGAACAATCTTAGGGTTTGGTTATTTAGTATTTTGATTAAAAAGAACCTTTTTTTTAATATAAAATATGATACTATATCCGTTTGGCTTTAAGGATTTTATTTACTTTTTACGCGTTGATATTTGAATATTAATTATTATATCAAAATACAGTACAAATTTAAAAAATTATAAAAATATTTTCATTAACATTTGAACAAAAGATTATATAAATGTAAAAATATTTTTAATATTAAGTATAATAACCACAAAAATGTAAATGTGACCTGAACAAACAAATTACTATTTTATATTATTAATTTTTGTTTGTAAAATAAAACATATCATGTCACAAAAATTTTATAGGAGAAACAAATTCTTAAAACTTTCTACAAAATAATAATACTATAATAATAAGAAAAATATAATGCTAGTTGCGGCCGCACTGGCCGGCCACGTGGCAGCATGAAAATGACCGGAGAGACTTTCCGGCGAGTTATTGGTGACCGTCACCGTCACCGTCACCGTCACACTACAACAACACGGCCGTGTTTATTAATCTAACCACCCCCACTCCCCCTATGTTCTACATGTACAATCATTATTCTCCTCCACTTCTAACACACACATATATACATACATACGTATATATATACGGTACGGTGTTAGTTTCTTGCTTCCACACTCTAACTCAGAAAACTGGCCAACCATTTCCGTCGCAATCACTCCCTCTGTGTGTTCGAGTTTGACCCGTCGCCACCTACCGGCAGCTTCCCATGGCGGCCCAGCGGCCCCACCGCCACCTCCTCCGCCACCACACGTTCTTCCCCCCTTTTCCTTAATCATCAAATCTCACTTTCTCATCACCTATAGCTAATTCCACTTATTATTATACGTGCCTTTTTCCTCCCTACTTTTCCCCCTTTTTCGATTCGTGAAACCCTAATTTCGAGGACGGGTTGAAGATGTGAAAGGATTTGGTTCATCGATTCGATTCAAGGTGTGCTTCGTGTTTTTTATTGTGCTTTTTGGATTAATTTCTGCGGTTTTTGCTTCGATTCTGAGGTTTTTTCGATTTGTTGATTGAGATTGGGATTTGGATTGGGATTGGAATTGGAATTTGTTTAATTTTGGTTGCGTGAGCAGTAAGCAAAGTATGGATTCTGGAAATAGTGCGAGTGTTCAATCGTCGAGCGGCGGAGATGAAGATTTTGATTCGTCGAGAGGCGGCGAATCGGCGGCGATCTCGTCGTTTTTCAATCCGCCGCCGAGTTTCGGTTCGATTTCCGGTCAGAATCCGCAGTTTCTTCTTCGACAAAACCCCAATTTCTTCGACGATCCGATTTGGTCTTCTACAAGGCCGCCTCCGTACAGTTTCCCAAATTTTGGAACTGTAAATCCTCCGCCACCGCCGCCTCCGTCGTCGTCGCAGTTTCCTTTACAATCTCCGGCGGCGGCGGCGCCGCGCGCGGATGCGAAAGCTGCCGTACCGGAGCAGCACAGCCTCTCCGCCGCCGTGAAAAACCCCAAAAAACGCACCCGAGCGTCGCGGAGAGCTCCGACGACGGTTCTGACGACGGACACCACCAATTTCCGGCAAATGGTGCAGGAGTTCACCGGAATTCCGTCGTCGCCGTTCACCGGTACGTCTCCTTATTCTCGCCGCCTCGACCTTTTCTCCCCCGCCGCCGCCGCCCTCCGCTTAGGCGGCGGTGGCGGAGGAGGCGGAGGCGGTCCTTTAGACACTCTAGGTCCTCTATACTCTCTCCGACCAAACTTCTCCCCTCCCCGTCCGTCGCCGGCGATGCTAAATTCCGCCATGATCGACTCCATTATACCTTCGACAAACATTCTGAACCCTAATCTTTCCTCCTCCGCCGGCGCTTCCGCTTCCGACCATCTCCTAACCCTCCCCGACCTCCAGCTCGGCGGAAATCCGTTGATGAATTCTTCTACAGTCGCCATTAATGATGAGGATGAGATGAGGAGATGGAAAAGTGGAGTAACAGTAGGGAATCATGATCATGATGGTGGCGTTGAAGAAAACGTGGCGACAACTGATGCTTTTGATCATGGCGCCATTGACAGAAGCAGTCATCATCATCATCATCATCGAAATCAAATCAGTGGCCACAATCATCAACATCAAAATCAAAATCAGAATCTGAATCGAATTGTTGCAGGTGCAGGAGCAACAGCAGCTACAGGTTCTTCGTCCACTGGGACTCCTCAAGGTACTGTTCCGCCATGGACGTTTCCTCAATGATTTGATACTTTTTTTTTTTTTCTTATTATTATATGTGAATTTTATGTTAGTATAAATTTTTATTTATATATGTTTGTGTAAAATTGGAAATTATTTATTAATTCAGATTATATTTTTTCAGTTTAATGATGGGATCGATGTTAATCAATTAAAATGATAATTAATTACTACCTTCTCCACTTTGATTAATTCGTATTTATTTTTTACAGTCGAGATTAAAAAATAATACTAATATTTAAATAGTAGTTCGTGATATTTTTGTATGTGGTTTTTTATATGATACTATAACAATATTAATGTAAATAAATGTACATTCGAAAGTGAAAGTATTTATAATATATATGGTTGTTAAACTTATTTTTTACCTCATTGTATTTAACATTAAAAATATTATAATTTTTTTGTACAAATATTTTTTTATTAGTATTATAACACACTAATAGAAGTATATTTGCAATTTTTTTTATATTTATGTGTGTATATAAGTTTTAATACTAGATAATTTGTTTGTATATTTTTATACTCCATTCATCCCAATTATTTATATCACAATGATTAAACAAAAATTAAGAAATAATTATATTTTAATATAAAAATAAGATAGAAGATAAATGTGCGTTATTATAGAAAATTTATTAAAAAATAAGCAAAAAAAAATAGAAAAAATAGATTATTATCTGTCAAAATAAATATAATGAAATATTGATTGATAAAGTGTTTACTATGAATAAATTATTGACATAATTATATTATCCTATGTTTTATTGTGTTATTTTCTTAAAATGAAAATTCATTATTAGAATTGAGATGCAATGATAAAAGTTATGGTGGATTGTAGTACACTGTGTATTTATATAAGAAAATAAGTAAATAAAATATAAATAAGGTTGTTAATAATTGGCATATGAATATTATTGGCTAGTTATAATAATTTGAGACTTATAAAAATTGACAGTATGATTAAGATAATGTTGAATTCTTTGTGTAGTAGGTAACATAATGTTGATTTTTTTGTTATTATTATTATTATTAGGGAAAAAATCATTTTTGTCTCGATATAATCAAAATTCATCATTTTTTGTTCTAACATGACCAAAATTCATTATTTTTTATCATAATATAAAGTTTTTATCAATTTTAGTCTAAATATAATCAAAACTCGTTATTTTTTGTTCTAATATGACCAAAATTCATTATTTTTGGTCATAATATAAAGTTTTTATCAATTTTAATCCAAATATAATCAAAATTTATTATTTTTTGTCTCAATATAATCAAACTTTATCTTTCTTTTGTCCAACTGTCAACAAACCGACGAAAAATGCTGCAAGATTGTGCAATTTCTTCAAATATAAATATAAGGTTTGATTTATTTTCACGTCAGTATTTTCCGTCGGGTTGTTGACGGTGTAAGACAAAAAAAGATAAGGTTTGATTATATTTGGACCAAAAAAAGATAATATTTAATTATATTAGGACCAAAAAAAGATAAGACTTGTTTATATTGAGACCAAAAAAGATAAGATTTGATTATATTGAAACAAAAAATGACGAGTTTTGGTTATATTATAACTACAATTGATAAAAATTTTACATTGGAACAAAAAATAATAAGTTTGGGTTATATTAGGATAATAATAATTTTTTCCCTTATTATTATTATTATTATTATTCAAAAGCCGTGGCAGTGTGAAGGAAGGAGTTTGGAATATATTGATATTGAAGAATATGAAACTCGTGTTGATATAAATAAATCATCAATTTTGTTTTGAGTTCTTTGAATATCAAATTTAATGTTTCTAATTGTCAATTTGTCATTTTCAATCTCTAAATTGGTCTTCGCCCCTCTTTTCTCTCTCTAGAAATGCTTACTTCATGCTGTGTTTGTTTAAATTTTTTTTAACATGAATTATAGAAAAATATGTATGTTATTTTGTCAAAAAGAACATGCCTCAGAAATTTTCATTTTTTATTATTTCAATTTTATATATTTTGGATTTGTTCGATTTATGCTTTAAAACTAAGTTTTTTAATAAAATATTTTATTAATTTTATATTTAGGGTTTGTTTGTTTGTTTAGTCAAACTGTTTGAAAATATATTTCATGTAAAGTCTAGGGGATTAATTTGATAAATAATATGAAAATAATAAGTATATGTAATTTATTAATTTGTTTTTTGGAGAAATGTATTTTACGGAATTGCAAATTTCACTATAAGAACGTTCCAATATTTTTTATTTAAATTTTTTTTTTTTAAAAAAAAATGCAAAGTATTTGTCTGACGTATGCTAACCTCACCATTTAACATATTCATATATTACCATAAGCATAATACACAATATTCCCTCACGTATTTTTATTTAAACACAAACAAGGAGAGCAGAGAATAATAAAATTGTAATCTAAAAAATAAAATAAAATATTACGTAAAAAAAAAATTATTAGAAAAAATAATAAAGAGTAGTAAAATCCTGTTTGGGTAGGATATCATTTATATTAATATAATATAATATAATATTAATAATATTGTTTCACGCGTAACAATTGATTTTAATACATGATATACTTTTATACAATACACATTATAATTATAAATAAACAACAAATATTTTTATTATAAACAACACATATTTATGAACTCTTAGTTCATGTGTTTTAATTATATTATATTAATATAAATGATATACTGACAAGAGTGAATATTTACTACTCTTTATTATTTTACGTGTGCTGATTTGCACGGTATTGTTCCCAAGCTGCGGATTTACTTGCCAATCATCGACACATCTTCCGAACGCTGTTGTCGGGATAATTAGAGGTATGATCACGAGAGATGCACGTGATCTTCCGAGTTTTCGTTTTTCATGAGGTGCGTTCGGCCTACCTTGAGAGTTGGAATTTTAACTTTTGTCTCTACATATTGTATAAGTAGTTTTGTTGGTCTTTTTGTACATAGTTTTTTTTTTTTAACTTTTCTCTGATTATATACAGACTGGGTTAGATTTTAATTTTGTTTCTTAAAAAAAAAGTAGTAGAATAATAATAAAAAAAAAACATAATAATAAAGTAATTATTACTTGCTAAAATAAAAATAATAAAATTATTTATTATAAATGACTTATGTATTGTGGATAATAAAAAAATATTTATATAAATTTAACAACGGGAGAGTATTAAGGATTTTTCTTTTGTATCAAATTTTATATTTTTATTATTTAAACTTTGTATTTTTTGAAAAAATATATATATATATTTTTATTTTACAAAATATATTTATCATACATTATTTTAATATGAAATTAAAATTAAAATTTTTCCAAATTTATGAAACATACCCTAAATAACATCACATAATGCCTACTTGCCTTTAGGTTATACTTCTATAGAATCCAAAAAGTGTGAGTGAAAAAATAAAATAAATAAAAAATTATAATAATACATTGTGTTTTAATTCCAATTTTATTTCGTGTATAATATAGTGTACTAATTAGCCTGACAAGTCTCTGGAGATTAAGCAGTGAAATATCCCTAATATATATATATATATATAAATAAAAAATAGCCCTAATCGCAACTATTCATTCTTCAATAAGTATATATATATATATATATGTAATATATAAACATTCGACAGATTTTCATAATAATACTTTATTCCAACGACTTTACACTATCATAAAACAAATTGACACCACAATTCAATAAAAATGCTAAAAACTTTATATGATTCAACATACATATATGTTGGAATTGATTCATTTCAAGCTCTTTTTAAATTATAAGTATCTCATCAAACAAGACCATATTTAACAGTGAAGAAGAATCACAAGTACATACATATATATATATATATATAAACGAGAAAGAAAAGAAAGAAAGAAAGAAAACGATATTTAAGAAATTAGCCACTCAAAGGTTTCATGGCTGAGATCATAACAAACCTCCTGTTTCTCGTGCTTGAAAAGTTCACAAGCCCGCAAGACGTGCATAGATCCTCCAGCTCTTTCTCCGACCAAAATATATGGCTACCCGACACCTGTGTAATACTCTTCGCAAAAAATAAAAATCAATGATCTTCGCAAAGAATAGATACATATACTATTTGATCGAAGAATAAAAGTATTTAATACTCAGTAGATGCAGTACAAGTATATAAAGACTAAAATACACTTGAGTCGTAAGGACATACATCCAATAAAAAAATAAAAAAAATATAGCTGAGAGAGACATATTTTTTTAATTAGACGTATGAATTTCGCTTAAAATAATAAAATTGCTTCTACACTACCAAAAAACGTATACCTGGCGAAGAGGACCGGCGAGAGGAATATATGTAAAAGGGGAATTGAGAATGTACGTTGAAGCGACGAATGTCCCTCCGGGTTTCAAAACACGGCTAATCTCCGCAACCTACAGTGAAATAAGAGTTAGTGAAATGTATTTGTGTGTGTGTGTATATATATATGTATCTATCAATCATACATGGAGATGTTATGTAGGTTGAGTCACCCGAAGGCTCGGCTCATTAATCACAATAATAAGTCGAGCTCGATTTCAGAAAAATGCTTTGAGAAATACACACTTTTTTATTTTTATATATTCCATATCTCATTTCATTTTTCTTTTTAGAAAAAAAATTACATATTTTAATCGTATTTTAAAATTTTAAATTCCTGAAGTAGTGACACGAAGCATGGGACATAAAGAGTAGAAAAACATTAGGCTCATTATATGTACACGATTTTGGAAGTTCTAACACTATCTATTAATAGTAACTTTAAAAAATTGTCATCCGATACATATTTAATTTGACGAAATATGTGATATCAAATATCAAACTTTTTACAATTTCTAAATTTTCAAAATTCCAAAATGTTCTATCTAAACAGAGTAAAGATTTTGGACAAAGGGAGTTATATAATAGATAATATTCGAATTCAAAGTCATTATATAATTAAGCGAACTTGACCCCGACTCAGTAAAAGCTCTAAAAATTTATGTACTTGACTCGAATAACAGCTACAATAGTAAATAATAAGTCAACGTACCGCAGCAGATGGTGAGGGCCAACAATGCATAGCAGCGCCAGCATGGACAGCATCCACCGTGCTTGAAGCAAACGGAAGCCGGGAGATATCAGCTCTAACAAGGATTAAGTTCCTAGGAAAAAAAGAAAAATCATTAGAACTGTAATTGGATTGAGTAACAACGCATAAAGACTACAAAAAACGATGCAATAAAATTTAACAAAAGATGTGTTTCAAAAGGAATGTACTCTTCCGGGAAGTTATCCTCCTGCTTAACAAACTCGAAGCATTGCTGCAACATAGATTCGGAGAAGTCCAATGCCACAACTGCAGAAAACAAACCACTTTTGGCGAAAAGTCTCGAAAACATGCCGCTTCCGCAGCTGGCATCGATTATGTTTCCACCCGAGACCGGTTTGATGTAGTCTTTGATCAATTCAAACTGCCGAGAAGAAGTCCGTTAAGCGAACCAGAGAGGAACACGCGTTTAAAATGGTATCTACGATTTATAATACTAAGTTTTCTTTGCAGTTCTTCGTGTTTGCAAGCTGTGACTTTGAATTTGAGTAACTGAAGGAAAGACTTGATCCCCGATTTTTATTTTGCATATAATTTTGAGGAGGTAAGTAGAAAATCGCTAAAACGATGCAACAAACTAGCAATGTGTTTGGACAAATTTATTGCGATTTCATCGACTAGAATGTTACCTCCTTCTCCGGTCCGGGAAACCCTCCAAGCACTGAAAAACTTTGTCGCCAACCTCTCTCGTAGAGATATGATATCAACGGAAACCTGCTCGGCGACAAACAAATATATATTATATGACTAATGAAATTCAGCACAGTAATGACAAAACATTGTTTACTAATAGAGAACATATGATATTCTGTTAACATAATACAAATACAATACATGACGCACAACACATGTTATAATTGATTTCAGCACAACATATGATATTCATTCAACACACGTATATAAATACCGACCGGACATCACATGCTTTTATTTAACACTAGTTTTAGATATTATCATGCATTATTTATCTGACAAATTTATATGTGTTAATTGAGGCAAATCGACATCAATCAACATTGTAACCGTCCTGTGTATGTATATATATATTAAGAAGTGTATTAGTAAAAATAATTATTATTTAGTAAAAATAATTATAGATTAAGATTAAGATAAGTAAGTAGTTTAATTAAAATTAAGAAAATTATAAAATTTAAATTGCGATTAAAGCGCATAATTATATTTCCAAAAATAGAAAGGACAAGTTACGTGGGACGGACAAAAATAGAAAATATTGACAAATTATGTGGGATGGAGGGAGTATATGTTATTCGTTCATAAAATGTTTAACAATTCAATACAAAATATTACTATTTTTGTATTACCGACAAAATTCCCCGTACCTAATACATAAGACACATTCATTCCAAAAATACAAAGCGAACAAACTCAGGTTTCTACCAAAGCATTTTCTACCTGAAAAACTCAGTCGAAGCTGCCATAGACTCCCCGGAGACATTTCCACCTCCGGCTATTGTCATGTCGAGATACGAGTCCTTACCTGAGTACGACTTCTGGCAAGTGTGGCACTGTAAAGTGGATCGACCTACAGATTCCCTGCAAATACATATCTAAAATAAGGCGACAGAGGGAAGGGGAACGAAAAAAACATCTAATTTATAACCAAAAAATCTCAATGACCACGTACGAAACCACTCACAAAGATGAACCGGGATCAACATTCCAGGTTAGGCGCTTGTAGCAAATCGGACACGCTAAAATATTCTTGCGAGCATTCGATTTTGCATCATCAACGACGACAGGATCCTAACATCAGCCACAGATTCGACATAGAGCAGAGTAAATTTAAGAATGGATTGTTTCACTCATATATGTCCTAAGAATATCGCTGTCAGTTATATGGACACTTTTGAAGCTGTTATGGCTATTCATAGACAAGTCTTTTAAAATACATCACATCAAATATATATATATATATTTTTTCCTATCGCAACTATTTCCAAAATTTTCAAAAACTCTGGTTTAAACGAAAGAATGATTCGAATTTCATTAATACAGACAAGAAAAATTCCAAAATCAAACAATTTTGAATAAAAACGGAGAAATGTAAATTTCTAAAATGGCAAAATTATCATAAAAACAACCAATGGCAGATTCAGGAATTCGCAAGCTCAAATTCGCTTTAACAATCTTGATTCAATCTCTCAACTATGCATTTACTATTCAGTATCGTATTCATTAAAATAAATAAATAAATCATATAAGGCTCAATAATACCAAAGCGCAGGGATTAATACCAAAGAAACTTAATCGGGGAGAATTACCGGCAAGGTTCCGGCGGCGGAAGCCGAAGAAGCTGCAACTGTAAGTGTCTTATACCTTCGAGGACGAGGAGCCAACGCAAAGCGCTTCAAATCGCCGAAACGGCGTCGTTCCGGATTCAATCGAGCTCCACTTACCGATGATACTACGAACGATACGCCGCCGATTGCCGCCATTGACTCCGCCAGAGGAGCTTCAGTAATTCCTACCCTATTTTTGGCAAAAAAAAATTTTTTCCTCAATTACAAAAAAGGATTCGGAACTTTCCGCTTTCCGCACGCAATGGAATCAAATAAATGCAAGATCAAGCAATAGTTGGCGCATCACCTCACCAGAGCTTGGATCGCAGATTCAGCGCCGCCAGGCGCGTAATAAGAGGCTAATTGATAATTAGCAAATGATTAAAATAAACGATGTTGTTTGAAAAGCTGTCCGATAGGTGTTTTATATATAATGACTTACTTACTATTTTGCGTATCCAAGTATGAGTAATTATTGACTTAGTACTATTTTGCGTATCCAAGTATGAGTAATTATTGACTTAGTATATATTTTTTATTATTACTTACTTTTTAAATATTACGTCATCTAAATAAATAATTATAAATTAAAATTAAATTTTATTGAAGATTTGATCCATGATGTCACGATCATTGGTACAATCACATACCACCACCAGGCGATGGATCTCAATTTATTTGAAGGATTTTTAAAAATTTGTATTATTCACACAAATTTTTAATTAATCATCCATTTTCTATTTTTTTAATATTCTGAAAATAAATTTTACATTATAAATACCATATCAATATTATTTATATCAATTCATACCATTGTCCAATTCAAATTTTTTACCATTTAAATCTTACTTCAAAATACAAACCTTAAACAAACAGAATCGAAAATATCTCATTTCAAATGCCTCATTTAACAAAATTTAAAGTAATACTAAAATTTAATTAATTAACTAATAATAGTAAATTATGATTTTTTTTAATTAAAATTTTTATATAAATAATATTATTATTAATTTTAAAATAAAAATTAATGTATATAATTAAAATATATTTAAATATTTTTAATATAATATCTTAATAAATTATATAAATGTAAATATTATTTTATAAAAAATATATCTTAAATAATAAAAATAAATATAAAATGTATTTAAATTTTTTTAATATAATTTCTTAATAAATTATATATAATGTCAATATTATTTTATAAAAATAGATCTTAAATAAATATATATATTCATTTATTAATAATATATATTAATTTTATAAAAAATAATTTTAAATATAAATATAAATATTTAGTTATTAAAAAAATTAAAAAATGAATAAATTCTACCAATTATTTATAAAAAATAAATCTTAAATAATATAAATATTTATTTATTAAATAAATAAAATAAATTCTACCTGACACATAATATCATATATTATAAAATTAATTAAATTAATTTATATTTATTAAATATATATTATTAAAAAATGTACCCATTAGGATAAAACAAAATAAATGAAATAGTAACAAAATATTACTATTTTAAAAAAATTTTCAAAAATATCAAATCAAATACTTTACTTTTTAATTAAATAAAATAATTTCAAAAGTATATTTTTTATAGAAAATAAAATAATAAGTATATATAATATATTGATATTTTTTAAAAACATATTTTCCCCAAAAAAAAAAGCCCACCGTTAATATTTCATTCAAATGATCATTTATAATATTCCATGAAGCCCACAAATAAATACACGCTTGAATTTCATTACTTCCAAATTTTAAAAACCCTAGAGTTTGTTAATTATAATTTAAAATTAATTTGAAACAATATTTTTAATTAAATAAATTTTAATTATACATTTAAATATTTTACAGAATATCTCAATAAATATAGATAATATAAATACTGTTATATAAAATTTTATATAATACAAATGCATATTTAAATCAAAAATAAAATTATTAAAATATGAATAAAATGTGTGAAGAAAAAAATAAATTAAAAAATGAATTTAATTAAATGAGTTTATACTTAACAAAAATGTATTTAAAATTAATAAATTTATTATTAAAAAAAAATGTTATCTATTATGAAACAACTTCGACTAGAAAACATGTTAACTAGTATGGGGAGGGAGAAAGTACAAAACAAAACAAACACAACAAATTACACATCATATGTTAATTTAACACCATCTAAGAAAAAAAATGCATCCCTATTGACATCCCCAACCATTTCTTTCTTGTTTTCAAATACATTTCACACATTAATCTACAATAAAATATTTTTATTATAAAACACCACATTTTACTTTGTATTTTATATATATATATATATAATAAAAAATAAAAAATAAAAAAATTCAACTTCAATACATCCCCACACACTATACTTTCATGCTCCCAAACAACAATCTATTTTCCATCACCAAAGACAACAAGAAACAAGACATATCCATATAGCCATTTTTCGAATCGAATCTTAAGAGGCCCTAAACAAGCAAATATGCATTCTGTACCCAAATTTCCGAAACCAGCATGCAATAAAATTAAATGAAATTAGTCATCTAACCGGAAAGACTTATGCGCCGGTGAGATATCATTCCACAACTTGACGTTCAGCAGCAAAAATACACCAAAACAGCACCACCAAGAACACACAGGGAAATCAACAGAGTCAAAATTCTTACCCAGAAGCATCGAGCACATCTCAGAACTCAGGTTCGCATTTAGAAGGATTCTTAGTCAGAATTTGCACAAAAGATTGCAAAAATCAAAACCACTGCGCCTAAAAGAGATGTCGCAATAAGAACAGTACCTGAGCACTGGCTGCAGATCAGCAGTGAACCACGGCTATAGAAAACGTTCGCCAAATCAGCAACACCATCAATTTTATTAAAATCTTCGATCTCATGTAGCTGACAGTAAATGTTAGCGACACGTTGCAACATTTAAAACAGTCTTACCAATCAAGGTCTGCAGCAATTTATTACAACAGCACAAACAAACGCAGCATGGACAGCCACGGCAGCAGTTGCCACATCAGCTACGAAGACTGCTGCTACAGCAATATCAGCTATCACCCAGTCGTAGCAGCCACAAATCTAATACGCTGTGACATTGCGCAACTCGATATATTCATGAACAAGAAAACAACCTTTCGAACTAATGACGAAAAAAAGAAGGAAATCCACAAATGCCAAACTGTGTTAGCATCTTACCACTCGTGAGCTCACAGCAAATGTAGCATCGGCATATCAATATTCCATTTATCAAAACACGCCAGGCAACGTTCAACAACGGCAGCCTCGACAAATATATAACAGATTTATATACTTCCAGATGTCACTGTAGGAGACAATACGACTTTCACAGGGCATTGAGAGCTTAACGAGATTCATTAAGAAGTTCAATCTATTTTCTTACCAGTTACGCCGTCGTCAAATTTTGTAAAGCACCTTATTCGTGATCTACAAGACACTATAACAAGCAACAGCAAAATAAAAGCAGCACCACAGCTACTGCATCATCAAAAAACAGCATCAATAGCTACTGCTGCATCATCTTGTCAGTCCGCAACTACTCCTCACGGACACAAACTAGAGAAGGCAACCAAAGGGCTCGTATGAGAAAGTTATCAAATGATAAAAAGTAACTATCAGATCAAGAACTATTTAATTAAAGTTAAAACTGTCCGACGCAACACCAAAATACCAGGAGTACAGAAACCATAGGTAAATAAAGCATAATAAAGTTTCCAGTTCAACTGAAAGGAGTTCGACCTTAGTAATAATAACCGACAGCAACCACTACATAGATGATCTCGATACAGATCAGATAACTTGAGAAGGCAAATGCAGAGCCTGCAGCACATTCATAGAGCCTCCCTTGCTTCTCTATTCCTACAAAATGAACATGTATAAGTGTAAGTATATGAACAGTTTTACCATTTAAAGAGTAATCATCAAACAAGTCTATAAGATAAGAAGAATCGACTACTCACATCAGTTTCAGATCGAGGAGAAGGGCTTCGAGAAGCCATGTGACCACGAGGAGAGACACTCCTAGGAGAAGCTGACCGTTCCCGGTGATTATGGACATCAGGACTTCTGACCTTGGAAGGGGGGGATTGATTTGGAGATGGACTCCTTTGGGGATTAGGACTTCTTCGGACAGGGGAAGCACTTCCATTGCAATGACAAGAAAAATCAGAAATACAATCAGAAGATAAACATTGTTGTGCAATTCAGAAATGTTAACGAAGAAGTTATACTTATGGCTATACCTTTCATAAGACCGACTTCTTCTACGCCTGTCATCATCATATTTGTCTCTTCCACGCTCCCTGCGATAATCAGGGCTCGCGCTTCGGCTGCGGCTGCGGCTTGGCGACCTGCTCCTGCTTCGGTGATGATAATCCCTGTCCCTGTCCCTACCACGATAACGATCACTTCGACCTCTACTTCTGCTGCGGCTTCTCCTCCTGTCCCTGTCTCTGGAAAGTTCCCAAGATTTATTACATGATTAAGGAGCGCAACGCAAATGGCATAATAGTAATTTCTTCATAACAGAGCTTTTTTGTCATATGCTTCAATGATGTCATTACAATACGACAATAGGCTTCAATAAAGCGCATTTATGGTTGACGAAACATCCGTCTTTCATTGTGTCACGTGGCACAATATCATTGGACAGAAACTCTTTGTATTTCACCAATATAAACAAGTTACAAAAACCAGTTGTCTTCAGCCAATGCTATTTACGTTTTCCATTTTTGAAAAGCTTTCTTTATTTTCTATAACAATTTCTATTGTTGCACTAATCTTCCTGCACTAATTCAATCTAGTTGAATTCTTCCAAAAGCAATTAAAATTGAATCTTTAGTGCTGACATAAATATCAATTTCCAAACCTGTGGCATATAAAAAATTAATATACAACATTTAAGCATCCACTCATACAAAAAACAGTGTAGAGTGCCCAACCTTGGTCGAGGACTCCGGCTTCTGGACCTTCTTTTAGACCGATAGACAGGTTCTTCAATTCTCCCTTTATGACTGGCCAAAAGAAAGACCTTTAGTGGCTAAAAACTGCATTTTCTTTAAAGGAAAATGTAGAATTTCAAAATAAGCAAGCCACGGAGTGAGGCTAACCAGATGTTTGGTTTGTTGGCATTGAATAGTACAATATACGGTCACACAATCAATTATATAAAGTAGAACACACAGAAGCCACATAATACTAGAAACGAACAAGCTGGTTTGTTGCATGCAATGAAAATTACAGCATACGATCACACAACTAATTAAGGTAATTGTGTACCACCCCAATAACCCCCAACAATACAAGCTTGGATATCGAATGAGCTTACATCCGTTCGGCATTGGGACCATACTTAGCAAACTGAACCATTATTTCCCGACCATCAACAACTCTGCCTGCATTCAAAAACATGTCAGATCATATAAGAAGAATTAACTTAAGACCACCTTCTTAACCATCTTCAATTCTTCCTCCCAACTCACCATCCAGCTTCTCAACAGCCTTCTGAGCCTCATCCTGGTACTTATAACGCACAAATGCAAAGCCCCTAGAGTCTCCAGTCCTAAGGAATTTTTGGAAGAAAATACCTTTAAAAATAATTTAAAAAGCACCTTGTATATACAAAGAACGGTATGCATACAATTATATATAATCTACAGCGAACCCTAATCTCAATATAATGACAGTAATATGCATCCAGTAGAGTCCTAGAAATGGCCCGTAAAAAGTAAACCCTACCACATACACAGGCAGACCTACTCAAACAACGACGAAGGCGGTTGCGACATAAACAAAGAACCATAAATACACTAAAAACCAATACATCAAAATTGAATTCAATCACATCCCATCAGCAACAATATACACCCCTAACATCGCCTGATGCACACTCTCGAATCATTTTAGTCACAGCCGTACCAAATTACACAATCACGTACCTCCGGTCTCTGGGGATGAACACGTCCACCACTTTCCCGTACTTATCGAAGAGGGGAAACAAATCGTCCGCAGTAGTACCTGAAAAGTACGGTCGAAAATTCAAGAAATGAGCATCTCAAAATGCACAACAACGATTAACAAGCGACCAAAAAGAAAAACAAGGCAATCAAAGGAGCACGCACGAAATGTGATGTTGAGGACGAGGAGAGAGAAGGTGTCTCTGATATCCGGCGGGCCAGATCTTCCGAAGTGCGACATCTTCGTTGAGCTTCGGTCGGCGGGGCGGGGCGAGGCGGTGCGGATTCTCTGGTTTCTAGGGTTCTCTGCAATGGTGACGCTTCGTTTCCCTTATAACGATGCACCATTCGCTGGATAGATCATTCTGGAGTTCCTGTGATATGACGATTTTGCCCTTGTGTGGAGCTTTAAAATAAACATGTGTGGAATTAACGGTGTGTATTTGGATTTTGAAATGTAGAATTTCGAAGAAATACCGGATATATTCACTCTATTAATAACAAGTCCAAAATTTTAAGTTTTCTATTATGTTTTTGAAAATAAATACATTTTTTTTTCACACAAATATTTTATTATATATTATTTAATAATAAATTCAAATAATATTTCCAAAGTAATTAAAAGAAACACACCCTAAGTTTTTCATCTAAATATTTTTGTAGGGTATCTATTACTTTCTAATTTTAAAGCCAACGATCCAATCCACAAAAAAGTCCAATTAGACCTGCCGATCCAAGATGTGTTTGACATATCTAAAGTTGGTTGAGGAAGTTGAGGCAGTGGATTAACAAATCGGTGAATAGAAGAGTTGAGACAAACTTGAAAAATAAAAAAAAATAATACTGTATATGAAATTGGGATATAAAATTAAGAAGAATAAAACACAATAGAAGATAGTGGAATTCGAACTCGAGATTTAACTTAGACTCCGATATCATATTAAATACAGAATAATTATTTCACATAAAAGTTTGAATCGTTAGGAAAATGCAATTATTAATTATTTATCTGCAAACAGAATTCCAACATATTTAAAAACAGTATGTAAAAGTAACACACAGTTATATTTAGTTGACGCAGCTTTGCTGGCTATTATAACATAAACGGAGTATATGGTACATGACCATATTTAGTTTATGTCATTAGCCACGTGAATTCGCTTCAGTCATTTTTGTTATAGTATAATTGAAATTGATAATATTTGGACTAAAATTAATTATTTTTAATTATATTTAGATAAAATTAATTTTTTTCACTTTAAATAATATTAATACCAGTTTTGACGCCTCAGCCGCCTGCACCAGGCCTTCTTTTTCCCCCATTACGGTTCGAATCGGCGGTGTCGTCGGCCGTTCCGGGGCAATATTCGGTTCGGATCCGAATAAAGTTGGATATGAAAATTCCGAATCCGATTTAAATACCCGATACTGACAAGTATTCGGGTCGGATCCTATTGTTATTTTGTCACCCTTCTCCTTCGGCTTCCAATTCGAATCCACCCGGCTGCTTCGACCCCTCTCTCGTTGGCTCGTTCGTCGTTTCTCGTGATTTCTAAATTCGAATTTCATTTCCTTCGTCGTCTTCTTCGGTGCCAAAGTCTTCCTCTTCCTCTTCCGTTTCGTCGGAGTGCTCGTAAGTTCAATTTTCACCGTGTTTTTTTAATTATTTGGTGTTATTAAATTTTCGATGATGTATGCTATTGTATCTAGGGTTTGGATTGTTTGAAGTGTGTTGATTTTAGGTTAATTCGTAGAGTCGAAGTTTATTTATATAGTTTTTGGCTCTGTGCATTCTTTTGTGAATCAGTAGGTTTTGTGTTTCTTTTGGTGGAATTGGTTTCATTGCTTACTGGATTAGTTCTCCGTTTTGTGTGATTGAAGCTATTTTGTGACTTAAGTCATATTAGTTGCTGATTGAAGAAGGAATACGTATGCATATATATATATATATAACACACAATAGCATCTAATTAATTGAATCAGAGTATAATTATCGACATGGAAGACGAACTAGAAAGTTATAAAGCTATTCAAATAACAAAAAGATGATTAAATTCACTTTCTGCCTTGGTGTTTTATCTAAATATTTTGAGTTGTAATTTGAGGGAAATTTGGTAGCCTTTGTAATTTTGTATGTTCACCATGGCGATCAACATCAAAATATGATGAGCCACAGGTTTGAAGCGGTTATATATTTTCCTTGTTGGCGTTTGTCAGTACCTGCGAGCTCGGGAGCTTTTCAAAACACTAAATAGGATTGAGATAACCCAAAAATGGCTGAGAAGTTGGCGCCAGAGAAAAGGCATAGTTTCACTCACAATGGTATTTTGTCTAAGTCTCGAGGATACGGATATTACGTTAATCATATTCAGGAGATAATGAATTGATTACTTGTGAAGTGTTTTGATCTCAGGTCAGAAGGTGTTTGAGTGGGATCAAACTTTGGAAGAGGTGAACATGTACATAACCCTACCACCAAATGTTCCGAAGAAGCTATTTTACTGTAAAATTGATTCAAAGCATGTAGAAGTTGGGATCAAAGGCAACCCTCCCTATCTTAATGTCAGTTTTCACTTCGCTTTTGAATTCGTGCAGAATTTCGTATATGTTTTCCCTAGTGTATTAAATTTCATGTTTCGATAAATTGCAGCATGACCTGGCCTCTCCGGTGAAGACAGACTCTTCATTTTGGACTCTTGGTATTTCTCGTGCTTCAAGTTGTTTATTATTAGAGAACGCATATTCACAAATTTTATCCATAATATCGCACAATAAGCTTAAATTTAGGAAACGATTTCTTCTCCATTATATTGTAAATGAACCTACAAAAAGCTTTGAATTAGTAGATCTCATGCTTCTGGCATTTCTTGTGCTTTTAGTTGTTTGTAATTGAGAGAATGCACATTCACGAACTTATCCATACTATCGCACGATAAGCTCAAATTACGGAATGATATCTTCTCCACTATATTGTAAATTAACCTACAGCTGCTCTAATATTAGTAAGTCTTGTGTTGGAATTACCTGTATATAGTGAGGTAGTATTCGGAGCACGGGTTCTGTATTTTGCTGACCTTTTGTTTTTCGTCTCTACAGAAGATGATATAATGCACATAACCTTGCAGAAGAGGGACAAAGGTCAGACATGGTCCTCGCCCATAATGGGTCAAGGCCAATTGGATCCTTATACGTCGGATCTTGAGCAAAAGCGCCTCATGCTTCAACGGTTTCAGGAGGAGGTACTTTTTGCATGGTTATATAATTTTGATAGTTTTTTCTTTTTTTAATATCATTTTACCTTACTTTTTATTTGAAATGATTTTTAAATTATCTTCCGAAAGGTGAAAAAACTGTGGTAAAAAGAAAGAAAAGTTACAAAAGATTTGAATTATCACGGATTATTTCATCTTTATGTTCGTATTACTACAGGCATCCGAATCATTGCTTTTCAATATCACCGGGTAGTGTGAAAATGTGGTCGAAAACACAAGTGAATGCACAACATTTAAATGATTTTACATAATCCACTCCAGGATTCATTTCGTTTTGTAATAATATTTCAAATGCCTCGACTTTATTATATGTTCCCGTTGTTATTCACTTGATCCTACATTTTATCTGCAATTATTAAACTTATTAGGGTAGGAAATTGGCGAGAGATTTCCCATTACTTGAACTTGCAGTAGGACAAGGGCGTTCTCATTTCTCAGTATCTTTGAATTTGTTTTGTTATTCTGTCCCTGCAGAACCCGGGGTTCGACTTCTCCCAAGCTCAATTCTCCGGCAACTGTCCTGACCCGAGGAGCTTCATGGGAGGAATCCATTAGTCGCCGTGTTTCTTCTGCAGTCTAAAAAGAGATTTGCACCGAAGAACGGTATGTATGTCATCTAATATTACCTATATCCTCCTACCATGAATTTCTGTGTTCAGTTTCTTTGCTCGATTCTTGCCTGAATAATGTGTAGATTCTCTTGTGTTTTGGATTTGAATTTGATGTTTGGAAATAGTTCAAAATTTGCAGGTCTAGTTTTTGGAATCTTAAATTATTGAATTTGAATGGTAAAATTGTAGTAAGTGTTTGATTTGATATATTTTTCATATAAATTTTGATGAATAATAATAATTATTATAATAAAATTCTCTAAAATTCCCCAAATATACATGGCCGGGAGAATTGGTTCTTTTTGTATTCTCTCTGGCAAAATTACGTAGACATGTTTGTTTTAGTTTCAGTTTGGGATTTTTTGTTTCGTTTTATTATTATTATTATTTTTTCTAAATTGCACAAAACCCACCCGTGGTTTCATGAAATTGTACCAAATTCAGCGTCAAACTTCCTCTTGGTTTCATAAACTTTTAAAACTTTCCCAAACGTCCTTATTTATTTTTACTATTTTTTTAGGCTAAATATATAAAATAAATAAATATATTTGTATTTTTTTAGGGGTTTAGAAATTGAAATTTTAAAATTTATTCATTTAGGCCAAATACCCTTAAACAAGGACTGCCGAGAGTTAGACAGACGCAAAGTTTATGAAACCACCAGTGCATTTTGTGCAATTTAGTTTTTTTTTTTTTTTTTTTTTTTTGAGAAAATAATACTTCTTTATTGATTAGTATTATTTTTTTATTTTTGTTGTAAATAAGTAATGTTTTTTTTTTTTTTGCTAACGGTTTTTTGGAGTGTAAAATATTAAAAAGGTATTATTATTTTTTTAAAGAAAAATAATAGATATTTATTTAAAATCCGATTTCAATTATTTGGATTTAAAATGATAACAAAAGATATCCTTATTAGTATTTTTCTTTTTTCTCAACTTTTTCCTCCAACTTCAATTAGTATTATAAACTTCAGCCCAAGAAATTCATTTATAAAATCAACATTCATTAAATTATTTATTTACTTAAAAAATTGATAGACACAAGTCCTAAACCCAAAAAAAAAAGAAAAAAAAAACGTGAGCGGAAATGTCTGGCTTTGGAATAAAGCTGAAGGTTTAATCTGAAGTACATTTAAGAGGATGGGGGCAGAGGCAATCAATCATAACAGGGACACGTGGAGGGTGGAGATTTTACCAAGATGGGCTACATTTTACTGCACACCACGTACTTGCCCTGCAATGCAAGATCAACACTAACATTAATAATTTTTTTAAAAAAATGAAAAAAAATCAAATTGTTCAAATTGTTTGAACCGATTTCGGTTTATTAAAAAATCAAATTAAAATCAAAATTTTCAAATTAAAGTTTTGATTTTGTTTTGATAGTTTTGATTACAATTTTGAAACCGACGATTTGGATTTGGACAGGCAATTTATTTATTTTTATTTTCTATTTTTTATAAAATTAATTTTGTTAAAAACAATTAATTTAAACTTAAATTTATTTAGATACATTGTTTATTATATAAATAATAAAAATTAATTAGATTATTATGATATAAAAAATAATTAAAATAATAAATCTAATAAATAACTAAATTTGATCAAATAATAAAAATTTATAAAATTTAAAACATGAATCATTAATAAATATTCACTTTTAATAACATTAATAGTTATTTTCCTTCTTCTTTCACCCGTCCCGATTCCAACCATGCTTCTACCGTCCCCACCAAGTTTGTATGTATACATAGAAAAATACAAAACCGCCGGTTTGAACCTGGACCCGGTTGAAACCGGCGAACCGCCGATTCGAAACCGATAGAGCTCTCCAACTGCGCGCATTTATAGCCGTTACCGGACTTCCCCTCCTTCCTAATCTCCATCCATTCCTCCATGGGGAACGACGCCGTTTTGAAGACCTGCCTCGTCGGATTAGCGGCGGCGACCTTCTTAACAGCACTCTGCACTCACTCCTTGAGGAAAGCCGCCGCCACTTACTGGATCGGAATGCTCGCTATCTGCGGCCTCCTTTTGCCTGACTGGACGTTCTTCGACCGTCCTGTTTCTCACTGGCGCACTGTCGTCGCCGATCCTCCGCCTCCGAGGAGGTAATTTAAGCTAATTGCTCATTCCGATTAATTGAATTGCAGTTTTCCCCAATTTCCGATTTGATTATTTCGGAGCAGGTTGAGATTATACCCAGTCCGAGTGTTGATATATGCCGCTGTGTACGGATTTGGCTTGCACAAGTGGTGGAGCTTCGTTTCCAGCTAAGTATAAATCAATCAATGTTGTTCGAGCTGCTCCTAGCTTCTTCAAGCCTGAAGCAACCTAGCTACGCAATACCTGCAGATACTTACGCATATATACATATTTAGAGAGAGAGAGGTGTTTGTGTTTGTGTGTCTCTTGTAACAGAAAAGAGTTTCCATAGTCATCATCTCTACTTCGTTCCAAAATTGTGTTCATCTCTGTATATGTAACATAAAATAAATAACAGTGTAGATCTCAAATTTCGCATTGGGATTTATGATGTAAGACATTCAAATTCTTTCAAGATATATGAATACTTGTATAGTTTCCTGACATTGTTAATTGCTAATTAAGAATCAGGCCGAGGAGGAGCGCAGATGATTCAAATTCGAGTAGAGTCGAGCGAGCAATTGATAAGTAAGAACTTATTGTGTGTTGTTTGTTCATCTTTGATCATCAATGTGTTCTAAATATCACTGTTTATATGCTCTCTGTTTCTTGTTTAACATTTTGATTCTTCCATATTGATGATTTCTTTCTTGTTTAGACCACTAATACCACATATTTTCTGATTTCTGTTTAGAGATCACTAAAATGATATTTGGTTTGGATCATCAAGAACATAATTCTTGTTCATCATTATAGATTTTGATTCTTCCATATTGGTGATTGTTCTTGTTTAGATCACTAGAGCTACATATTTTCTTTTTAAAGATCAATAAAATGATAATTGGGTTAGATCATCAAGAACATGTGTTTCTTTTTGGATTGAATTTGAAGGTTTAAGTTTTTTATTAAAATAATATTTCTATGCGATATCTTGTAATAGAAATAAATACTATACCTTTTAGGAACGTGAAGTCCAAACTGTAGAAAATTGAAGTTTATTACTATAAATATATATATATATATCATAGTGTTGTTACATCTAACTCAGGTCCTAACCTCCGGTCAGGGAAGTTCGGACAGGTCCCGATTCCGATTGCACAAATTTGCAGTTTGGACAGGCGGGGCGAGCCTTGGACATCATCACCAACATGTGACACCTCCTAAACGCCGCCGCCACCATCTCCTGGTGCTCTGCATCGAATGTCAGCCACGACGGCGATCTAACCACGGCAGTTGCCTGTAAGTTCAGCCGGAGCTCCAAGCTCATGGCGGCGGGAGGTACGTCGAGATTTTGCGCATCGACCCTCTGGTTAGTCCTCGTGTTTTGGAAGTATAATTTTCCCGACTGCATGCCCGAATATCACATATATATATCGATAAACTTGCATTTATATAACAAATTATTTGTGCATGTGTGTATATATATATATATATTTATTTGATGACCTTGATGTCGAGGCATCGTTGCAACTCTAATGGGAGTCGGGATTGGTAGTGATCGAGGAGTGGCGGCAGCTTTGCGGCAGCGGCGCCGCCGGAGTTTTTGGAGATGGTTTGATCATCCCATTTCCTCTTCTTGGATAGAGACTCACAAGGTAAGATCATTTCTTTTGTTCTTTCTTTGTTGTTGATGGTTATGAAGAAATGAGTAGGTCTAGGCAATTTAAGGATCTTAGAGAATAGATGTAGTTAGCCGATGGTGGTAAGAATTCCTTGAAAATCTTTGTTGGGTGTGGGGAGATATATATATAGACACGATATATATGCATAAATAAAAAAGGGATTTTAAGTTTTATAAAAATTTAAAATAGTAAAAAATGGAATATTTTATACTCTTCAAATGTTTTGGTACTTTTTTTTCTTTAAATAAAAGTGAATATTATTTATTCCTCTCTAGTTGTGAATATTAATTATTCCTCCCTAGTTTTTCATTAGATTGGTATTATATAGTATATATATACTTATATAGTGTCTATTTTATCCTCGATAATGTGAAAAAGTAAAAACTATGAGTATTTTTTAGTTTATAATTACTTTTATCAAAAATAGTAAAATAGAAAATTTACTCGAGTATTATTTTATCTTATATAGTAAAAAAATAAAAATAAAATATATTTTTTACGAGAACTTAAAAAAAAGTTTAAATAAATTTGGCACTTTTTGTATGTTTCAATTTTGGAGGTTTGGATTTTGAGTTGGGATTTGAATATTAAAAATTTTGAATTTGAATAGTTGTATGATGTGATATAAATAGGTGTTGATGTGATGTTTTGAATGTAAAATTGATTTTTAGTATAATATAAAAAATGAAAAATAGGTATTTAATTTGATATTTTTTTTTTGAAAAAAATGGGATGAAAATCCAATCCCCCAAACAAACACACCCTTAATGCATTTGTAAGTTTTGGTTAAGATTCTATTTATATAATTAATTTTTGTAATATTTTTTCTTATCAAAACTTTCCACATATTTTTAGACAGATTTATGACAATTATGCACAATCGCATTTGCCAATGTCTATGTACTAATAATAATAAGTTAGTTAAACTATATATAAATAAATTATTATTATTATTACGTTGAAGGGAAGGAGATGTCTATAAGAAAAGGTGGATAAATTGTTCTTTTTTATTTTCTCTCATTTTTAATACAATTTTTTTTTTTTATCAATATATATATATATATATATTCACAAAATATTTCAAAAATACCTAACCATAAAAATCTCCTAACACTAAGCAAGAACAAGGTAGTAGTATTAATGAATAGATGCACGTGATCTTGATTGATTGAACTAAACATAAACCTCGTTATTAATGCCATGTGGGTGTGCCCTTATTAAATTAAACTTGATTACTTCCTCCGTCCCAGATACCATGTCCACGTTGCCGTTTTTGTCTGTTCTACGTACTATGTCACTCTCCTTTTTTTTAAAATGATTACACACTTTAATCTCATTTTAAAATTTAAAATTTTATTTTTTTAATTTAAATTAAACTAATTAGTTATCTTAATCTTAATTTATAATTATTTATATTATAGGATAATTATTTTTACTAATACTTAATTATCTACTAATTATACCCATTCTAAAATACTGTGTCTACAGTGTAGCAAATAAGGTATATTATTAAATATATATATATATATAGGAAAAATAGTTTATTTGGAATTTCATTTATTTATTAATTTATTATTGGTAAACCGGACAATATTAATTACATGGTTGAATCTATCTATCGCCATTAAATATCATTATTAATTATTATAAATGCTCACAACTGCCCTTAGCCACTATTTATTAATTAACAACCACATTTAATTATCACCTATAAATATTATTTATTTATTTATTTATTGCATTCATTATCAATTTATAGAATTTGTACCACAAAATATATCAATTTTATTTTTATTTTTTGCATCCATTATCGATTAAATAAATTTGTACTCACAAAAAATATCAATTAAAAATTTTCGAAGTTCAAATAATTAAGATTAATAAAGAGCAATACAAGTAGTAATAATAATAGCATAAACCAGGTTATTAAAGTTACATGTATTGTAATTAAATAAATATACACCATTTGTGTATATCATAATACTTATTCCGTAACTATATATTCATTTGCGTTTTACACAGAATTTTAAAAATATTAGTATTATATTGGGATATAGTAGGAATAAAATAGAAATGACTAAAATAACCTTATTAGTATTATGTGATATAAATGTAACGACATTTGTATAATATATTGTAAGTTTAATGTTAAGTAGATAGTATAATTACTAAAAGAAATAAATACTTTGTTACGGGATTGACTAAAATAAAAAAATGAATACTTTGTTACTAAACGGAGAGAGTATAATTCTTTTCATCTTAATAATATTTAAATAAATCATTCAAAAATAATATAGACGTATTTTATGAAAAAAAATAATTAAATAAAAGTATTAAATGAAAATATATTTATTAATTAGTAGCACTAGTATATATTCACTGTCTCTCAAACATTCTACAATATATACTTTTTTACCAAATATATTGAAATATTTTTAAATAAAAAATAATTTAATATACTTAATTCCTATATTATACTTTATTTGAAATAAAAAATATATATATTTTTTTCTTTCATTATATTATTTAATTTCTAAATTATTTTATTTACCACTATCAATTTAAACTTTTATGCTGATAACAAATATTGCATTATATTTATAATATTTAAAATAAAAAGCGTAGTAATTAATTAGAGTATTAACAAGTTTAAGATGTAATGTTGGTATCTTTGAATTCCATATATTCCTTCGGCCATTAAATATATATCCGTAATAAAAATAAAGTAAGAATGATTAAAATAATTTTATTAATATTTTATGATATAATATTAATGATATTTGTATAATATATTATAAATTATAAAAATATTCGTAATATTAAGTAGATAATATAATTACTTTTTAAAAAAATACTTTCTTATATAATAGGCTAAAATGAAAAAAAAAAAAAAATTACTGATGGAGTAAATAAAATTGCAGTTTGCTTTTTTTTTTAAAAAAAAAAAAAAAAACAAATGAGAGTATTAACAAGTTGAGTGGAGCATAAGTTATCAGAATGCTTTATGATCGTGAAATTATGGATTCAAATTTTGGACGTTGACTTGCCTATTGAGTCTAGTTTGATTAGTCGAAGTTTAGCCAATGCGCTTTTGTTCTAATAATATTATATATTATATATTCTCTCCCTATATAAAAAATACACTCAAAAACTTTTGAATACAGAGATTAAAACAACAATATTTTAAGGGTGTGTTTGTTTGGGGGATTTAATAAGATTTCTACTATTCATCCAATTTTTTCCCCCCAAAAACATCAAATCAAACACCTATTTTTCATTTTTTATATTATACTAAAAATCAATTTTACATTCAAAACATCACATCAACACCTATTTATATCACATCGTACAACTATTCAAATTCAAAATTTTTACTATTCAAATCCCAACTCAAAATTCAAACCCCCAAACAAACACACCCTAATGTTATTTTTGTATTTTGTTGACAAAAAAAATAAAAATATAATTGAAAGATAAACAATAAAAATACCATTTTCTTATTTAGTAACTGTACTATATACTTAACATAATTAATACATTTACAAATTTCAATATATAACACAAATGTCATTACTAAATCAATATAATACTAATATTAAAAAATATACATGCAAAAAGTAAATATTACCCTTATTTCGGGACGGAGGTAGTAATATATTTCACTAAAAATGATATGAGAGATAAGTGGTACTCCCTCCATCTCATTTATTGTGTCCACTCTATACCACTCCGTCCGTCCCAACAGAGTTGTTTTGTTTTTCTATTTTCGTTCGTCCTTATTTACTAATCGTGATCCCCACTTTATAACAAAATTATTCAATACATTTTCAAACTACTCTTAATTATTACTCTAACGTACTTTTTAAAATCATTCAAAAAAGAGTATTTTAGTTTTTTAACTTCTACTTTATACCCACTTTAAATAAAATACTATTATTTTTTAATTTCCGTGCTCACTCCCAATAAGACATCTTTTTTTGAGCTGAGGGAGTAATATATTTTAATTTTATTTTAAATTTTTTATTTCATAATTTAAATTATAGTAATTAATTATTTTAATTATAAAAAATAATTATTTTTATTAATATATTTAAATTACTTATTGATTATATCCTTTCTAAAATTCTATATCTACAATAAAAGAAGCATCATAGCCAAATAGGAGAGAGTAGTATATTTTACTAAAAATGACATGAACTTACTTCTCGCGAAGGAATACAACGTAAGATAAATATATTTATGAAACAATATTCTATAACATACATATACCTTAAAATTATTTGGCTATGTAAAATTACATTAATACCCTTTATCTAATAATCTATTTTCTTTCTTACCTTTTTCCAAAAAACTATATTAATATAATTATTTATTTTGTTATAAATATTTCATTCAACATTAAGTTTTTTATTGACTATTATTGAAATAATACAAAATAAAAGTAATTAATACATATGAACATTCACTCTTGTTTATTTATTTTACTCCTTTGTGACTGTATTATTGAAATAATAATCAATTAGTATAGTAAAAGAATAAAATACTTTACTATTTGTGTAAAGAATACTACTAATATATCTTAAAATACAATTGCTAATAATGATATAAGTTCTGTATTTTCTGAAAATAATTCATACTCCATTCATCCTATTTATCATACATACCTTTTTCGTTCCACTTATTTTGTTATTTAAAAAAAAAAATTATACACTTTAATCTTATTTTAAATATTTTATTTTTTTTTTAATTTTAATTAAACTAATTAATTATTTAATCTTAATTTATAATTATTTATATTATACAATAATTATTTTTAGTAATACATTCTTAATTATTTACTAATCATAGCCCTCGTAAATTCTTGTGTTTATATATATATATATATAGTAGGCAAGCAACTAGTGTGTATATATATATATATATATAGTATACCTTTATTTGACCAAATCTCTGCTCTAAAAATATACCATGCTTGTTTTCTTCTTTTTATTTGTCCATAAAAAAAAAATATTTTATTCATTAAAATTAAATCTCCACCTCAAACAAATAAACAAATACTGATAGAACAACAATAAATACACACAGATTTCATACATAACACAACACAACATATACTCACAATCATTATTTCTTCACAT